GACCGTTTTACTAACGTGTAGTCACCACCTCCTGTAGTTTGTGCTGGCCAAATTTCAGGTGTGTACGACGAACCCCCTCGGAGGAGTTCGATTTAGAAAATGGCCAAAAATGGCCACATGCTAATGGACTTTTTTGTGCGTCACAAGTTGTTACATATGTGTAGCAAATGTAGTAGTTGTAAATCAAACATAGCCCCAATGGGAATCTGTTGAAATATTGTAGGGGGCGCCGTTGAGCCGTGTTGCATTTTACAACTTGGCCCTGACTTTTTTATTCATCCTGACCTGCTCTATATGCCTACAAAATTGCGTAGCTCTAGGCCAAATGTGCTTTTGACAATTTAGAAGGTGGCGCTGTGGAGCAATTTTTCTATTGAGGTGTGTAGTGTTCTTCCAAATTATAAAATTTTTCTGATGTACATGGCAATTTTGGTGAGTTTTCGAGTATGTTTAGGGCCTCAAAAACTCGTGTCTTTGGCACGAATAATAATAATAATCCGAGCAGTTCCAATAGGGTCTTTGCACCCTTTTGGGTGCTCGGACCCTAATAATGCAGTTATAGTTCAATTTTGAATCATTTGGCATTAAAGTGATGTCGCACAGGACTGTGTTCACTTCTCCTGCATATCGTAGCCCTACTCCATCTTGGACTTAAAAATCTCATGCCTTATTGTTGTTTAATGACTTCCAGTGAGATGGTGTTTATATGATACAGATAAAAAGTGTGACGTGAGCTGAATGAGACTGAAGCAGCAGCACGAGGTCAACATGTCCTCTGCTTATGAACTTAAGAGCATTAAGCCGTCTTAAACAGCACAGTGTCCACTAGACCTGTCTGCAGCCATTAATCAGGGGTGGATAGTGTAGACGCAACTTACTTTCACATCCTCTGTCACTTTTACTCTTAGCATGAGGAAAAATGTATGCTGGGTCTATTTTTTTTCCCAACTATTTTACACCCAAATATCACAAAAGCAAAAAGATGATTTGTCCAGTTTTATTTGGAGAACACTTTTACTTGGATTGATACTACCACCTTGGACAGTATAAATACAGAAATATATACAGCATTTTAAAAAACATTCATGGAAAAATATATCTCATATCTGGTGTTGTAGGGAGCAGGATATTGTGTACTGGAGGGTTAAAGCCTGCATCTATCTGCAACCTGCAGCTAGTGCAGAGCGTCCTATTCACAGTCTGCAAGAACTAGATTCATCCTCTGAATGCAGTCTAACCACTCTACTGTAATTACAGTGCCATGATAAACAAGAACAATAGCAGCGTAAGTAATAGAAGTAATATAATTAATATTTGCTCTATAATCTCAAGGCTTTTCTGTATTCACACTGCTGAACAAGCATTGTTTTAATGAGTTTCACATAACGCAGCTTGTGTATCACGGGGGTGTACGTTACAGGGTGTGTTTACGAGTCGTCTCTCATCCTTTATGATTGTGTCGTTCCAGTTTTTAAAAACTTTTTCAATTTTCCGCTGAGTTTCGTCTTCATGATGTTGTTGTGATCACCGGCCCAGCCAGCATATAGAAGGGTAGCGCTCGCTCAGCGTCTTGCGCAACTGAGAGCTTTGTGTCTTATCCCTGGTTTCCACCACACACTCCACCTGTCAACACACACACACACACACAGTTAGCTCTAATTAGGACAGTGAGAGGGCTGCTTGTTAATTATGCAACACCTTTCACCTTTTGACACCACCGGTGAATAAACAGTACAGTTTGTCAGAGTAGACTGCAGAGCCAGGAGATAATGAGACATTTCTGCTGGGCTGCAGTGCAACACAACAGTTTCATGAGGTTTTACGAACAGTAGAGATTACAGCAGAGCTATTACCAAGATAAGACAGTTTGTCCAAGAGGATTCATCAGACAGTTTTCTTACAAATTTAATTTGGACAAATTTCTGAAGTTAAAAAATACCTTTTAAAGGCTGACTGCGTAAATATGACAGGATGATGGTGAAAGGCCATAAAGGCAGCAAACTGACTCAGCAATGCCAGTTACACATCAGTAGTGTGTAAAGCTAATGGTCATATCAGAGCACATAAAGCTGTAGCAGCAAAACTCCTGAAAGAACAGAAGTCAGCATCGGTGCTTTTTATTTATAACAAATCCAATTTCTTTATTTGTAACTCTGTGTAAATGGTATAACTGGTATAATTTGTAAATTGCTATATAAATAGTAGCAGATGTACATAGTAATGGCTATAAACTATTTTTATATGGTTCATATTTGCATATATGGATATTGATCATCCATTAATAAATACTGACGTTATCATTAGCAACAGGCCATCACGTTTCTATTTGGAAAAAGTAATGAGTCATCACTAGGCAACTTCAACCATCAAATATACAGTAAAAGTAAAAGTAAGCTGTTGATAAATCAGCAGCCAAGTGACCTTTTACAAACTGACAACCCCAATTAGTTCTTATTTTATTTATAACAGATAATAACTGAACTTTATGAAGGGTGCCTCGTAAGAAAGTGGTACCAAGGTTTCTTGAGGTGTAAGAAAAAGCTCTTCCCACGACGCAAAGAAGCTGCGTAAATATCTCTTTATTTTTCTTTATTTGTATTTTTGGCCCTTTAATTCCCGCCAACTCCCTGACAACTCCAAGCCAAGACTTCAACGGCAATGAAGGAAAAGTCGATGAGCGGATTGGAGAGGAGGAAGAAACAGATTGAGGTGAAGAGGAGAGCTTAGTCGCCTACCTTTGCCTTGAAGAGGTCTGATTTGTCGCCGTGTCTCCGATGGCAGACATCCAGCAACCTGGAAGGAAAAAGACAAGCGAGGGGGAAGAATTAAAGGCTTCTCCGGGCGATGTTAAAACAGATTTAGCATGAAGCAGCAGAGCAAAGATCTCTCTAAGCGGATGGGTGCCGACTCTACCTGACGTCCTCTCTGGACAGGACGTCCAGCAGCTTGGCCATGTCTCCGGGCCACTCTCCCAGCTGCACCGAGAACTTACTGACCCGGTCGTCCAGCACCAGGGCTCGGTCCACGCACTGCCTCACCAGCTCCAGCTCCATGTTCGCGCTGCTCACCACTACAGCCACCCTACAGCACAGACAGAGGGAGGCTTGTTTTATCTGCAGCCAAAAGGATTAGCACTGCTGACATTGTTGTATTGCCAGAATGTCAGCTTTTCAGGCATTAAGAGAAACATTTCAGCCCTCAGAGTTATATTTAAAACGATACAAAGGGCTTTCACACTGTTTTAAAACTAGGTCTCAGACACACAGGACTGCTGTTGCTGAACTCTGACTTCTCTGAAGGAGGATAAACAAGGAAAAGGTCTCTATAGAGTTCAAGAAGCACAATATTAATACATCAGACCCACTTTTTGCCTCTCAATTCTGGTAGCTGTCCAGCCAAAATGGCAGCCAGTCCCATGGCGCCTTCTGTGTCCACAGTGGAACGTTCAAACTCCTGAAACCGTAGCATCGCCACCAGAGAGTCCTCCTCACTGTGCAAAGAAAAGAAATTCTATGATACCTAAATGCTAGAATACTGCAGAGAAGACTTTTAACAATATTGCTCACGATACCCTCAAGACATGATTATTTTACAGAAAGATGTAAAACTAGCTCATAACTACGTGTTTGTCTCACACAGTCGATATCTGATTTCCGAGAAAAGTCTTTCAAAGGGAGCTTTGAAGTGTAAATGTGCCGTGGAGATGCTGTACCTGACAGAAATGACTTTATCTACCAGTTTCTTTGCCAGGTGGAAAGTGTTGACACCAAGCGAGCGCTCCATAAGATCTGAGAACAGACAGAAGATCGTCACATAATCATTCACTGCAGGAAGTAATTTGAAAGGCTTCTGACAGGAGAAATGTGCATAATAAAGAATTTTATTCTACATTTACAATCCTGCACGAAAGGTTTGGAAGATAAAGAAAAGTTATGAGTTTACCTCCATAAAGTTTCTTATTGGGGTTGCTGTGCATGTCTTTGATTGGGCCGTCTGTTTTCAGAGATTGTAGCAGCAGAGGAAAACCTTCTGGTTCAACTCCCTGGTGAAGAAAGTCCATTCAGTTATTATTTCTAAGTGTTTTCAATTATGAATCATCACAAAAATATCAACGTTAAGAGTTTATGGCCATGTTAGCAGCCGTATGAAGCTGCACTAAGGCTTATTCACACCGGGCATTAACATGTATCTTGAATTTTTGGCAGACAAAGCAGTGCAAGCCAGTTAAAACAATGCATCTGGTCTTTGCGAACAGAAATGATTTACATGTTTAGTTACATATAGAGGAGGGATGTGAGATCCAATCACAAGAGACATGTATGGAGATGTCACACTGTGTCAGGAAGTGACTTAAACCTGCATTCTTTCCAGCTGCCAGCAGAGGGCAACTGCACCGGTTGAAAACAGAAATCCAATTATATAGAAAACTATTGGAAAATGACTCTACTTCTACCTGATCTGTTACCTTAGGAAACAGTTTGTAATCAGTTTATGGTCTCAGTCGTTAGTTTCAAGGCTTTTGGAATCAAACATGGTGCTATGTTTTAAAAAATTGTGACTCCACTTGAAGGAAAAAAGGCAATAAAGCTGAAAATGTTCCAGGGAGGGGCTACATTGTGATTGACTGATCGCTACCATATCACTGTGCGTAGAGTCCTCGAGTTCTCAGTCAGATCCACCCCTGACTTGTTATGTCCCGTTTCAGAGAAGCAAGATAGCAAGCTTCAACGTTGTAGTCCACTGTTGCAGTCACAACGCCCATCACAACAGTCCTTTTAGCTAATGCTAACATCAGCATGTTTAAATGACTGTGCTAGTGTGCTGAGGTTTTGTCAGAAGTCAAATTTGGCATGTATACTATCTTAATTTGGCATGTCTCCATGCTAACAGCTGCTACTCAGCACTATAAACAAAGTACAGTTGATGCTGATAGGACTATCGTGTTCACGGTTAACATCTGTCCTTTTATTAATTGTCACTAAACAACAGAAATGTTAATTTTGTGGTCGCCTTAAAAGAAAAGTCTGTAAAAAAAAACAAAAAAATCATGGCAATCCATGCAGGTCTAATAAAAAGCAGCGAACCAAACAAGTGAGCCATTGTTTTCTTGATTCATGCCTTATTTGCAAAAATCCTTATCGCCATATTCTCCCTCATTTACGCTGACCTTTTATGATAGAAGTGTAATGTAATGTACAGAGAACTGGAACATGTAATTCTACATGCTCCACACACAGTGCGTTTCAAAATTGCAGACGAAGCACATTTTCCACTGCAGTGACATGTGATGCTAAATGCTCAGTATTAACACGAATAAAAGTGAAACCTTGGCTGGATCACTGTCATAAAAACTGGATCATCTGTGGGCAGATTGGGAGCTCTAATCAGTCTGTGTGTATGTGTGTGTGCTGCATTTTGTAACAACCATTACTGGGTCAAAGTGGCAGTAAATTGGCTTGATTGTACACAAGGATATTTCTTTCTGATTGAAAATAGAAGGAGAGGGCTTTTCTGTGCTTCCAGTGTAAACAGAGAAAAAGCCCTCAGAGTTTTAGCTGTGAGAAGACAGTGGAGCAATGCAAATATATTTATCTTGTTAAAGAAATCCAATGAGAATGAAAGGCACACTTTCTCATCTTTTCACTTAAAAGTACAGAAAAAGCTAGAAACAGCACCAACAGTACCACTGACCACTGGCGTAAGATTAGAGGCTGCTAAGAGATACATACAGTTATATATCTGGCTTCTATTATTTACTAAAGTCAAACCTCACAGCATCTACTTACTATGACAAGAATCTGAGAGTTGAGGTGTTTGATGGCAGCAGCTGTTCCAGCCAGTAGACCGTACTGTCCTGCTGCAGGAATAACCACTGCGTCCAGTTTGGGTACTTGTTCATAGATCTCCATGCCCACAGTGCCCAGTCCTGACAGGTACGCTGGACTCTCGTCTCTGGCCACCAGCAAACAGAGAAACAGGACTTATCACAGAGGGGACAGTGTTTTGTACTGTATACAAATATGTAGCTGCTAGTGTGGCAAAATACTGTTTATACTACAGACAACTCTGTTTATACTACAAACAACTCTACAAATCATGACCCTAACAAGACACTGACTCTTCCAGGTAGAGGTATCCATTCTCTTTGGCCAGATGGCGGGCGTGGTTCTGGGAGTCGTGGCCGGTGCTGCCGTAGGAGATGACCATGGCGCCGTAGTCTCTGTAGATCCTGAGACGGGGCGAGGAGCAGCATGACGGCATGATGACAAACACCGGGACCTTCAGCTCCACTGCGTGGTGAGCCACGGCCATGGAGAAGTTACAGTCAGTGGACACGATCACGCCTCTCCTCTGCTGCTCCTGGAGGGACACACACAGCAAACGTCAATAAAGAAGTGAAAGTCAATAGAAAAAACAATCTGCAGAGAGTGAAGGAGATTTAAAGGCTAACAATAGTACATAATACCTTTCTAGTGTCTAAAATATGATGCACTGAGCCAGGACAAACCTTGGTCTTTATCATTATCATTGTTTTTTTGGCCCCAATAACACACAATTACAACTAATATCAACAATTAATTTATGTGTTATAATAACTTTTGTCTCGTGCTACTGTCAGTGGTTGTTTCTGAAAATTCTGCCACATTCGCCATAATCCCTGGTCCTCATCAGACCAGCTCAAACAAAGATTCTTTGAGTGACTCTAAAACCAAACATGACTGGTAGACCTGTCCAGTTCAAGAACAGGTACATAGGCTTTGTACTGAAGTAAAAATGCATGAAGTAAGTTCAGCATTTAAATTTAAATATCAGCAAGTATTAGCATCAAAGTTTACTTAAAGTACCAAAAGGAAAAGTACTTCTTATACAGAATATATTTAGGATATATAATGATACAGTTCAGTCTAATGTGTGATAATGAAATATAATTACTGATGTATTGATGCGTTCATCAGTTTTTTTGTTGTTATTTTAGCTTGTAGTAGCTTGTCAATAAAGTTTTATGTTCATCTGTAATAGTCCATTATCATTTATTTCCTAATTATATTTTGAGTTATTAAACTAAATTTGTAAAGTCATTTGTAAAGTCATTAGATAAATGTAGTAAAGTACAATATTTGCCTCTGAATTGTAGCATGAAGTGGAAGCATGAAGTAGCAGAAAATGAAAACACTGAAACATTGTACAAATACCTCAAAATTATACTTTGGTACAGCGTTTTAGTAAATTGGCCACTTTACTGCTGTTGCACGACAGAAATCAGTCTCACTTGCTCGTAGCCGTACAGCCGACACGTGCAAATATATGCATTTGTAAGCTTCTAGCTATTTTAATCACTGCGGGTCAGCGGTGGTCAGTGAACACGTGTGTGTCTGCACGAACACACAACGTAAATAACACTAACAGTGACCTGACCCACAGGAAAGGATCATCCCCCCCCTCGCTTTCAGCTTACCTGAGTGAGGGAGGAGAGCAGGTACAGGACTCCTCTCTCCTTCACAGAGCCTGTGTAGTGCAGGTGCTCCTTCTTCAGGTAGATCTCCATCCCGTACTGTTTGGACAGTCTGGAGTACTGCAAACACAAAGAGGCAGCGCTGTCAGAGCTGAGCAGAGAATGTTAATGCCAGGGGCACACTCAAGTGTATCATCCATTCATTCACTTTATCTAGCCTGTTCATTTAGGAAACATAGTTTTTATCACCATGAGCATCTTCTGCTGAAATCAAAAATGTCTTCATGCTTCTCCTTATAAACAGAAAATGATGTAATCTGAGGAAACTTGGATAAAAACATTAAAAAATGGCAGATATTGAACACTCAGAGTATATTTACATCTTGTAATGGCTCACAGCGCTTCTGTTTGTTCCTTATAACTACCTTCTTAAGTTGGGTTATTGAGACACTGGAACATTTTTGGGATTTCAGGAGCTACAGGACTCACACCATGTCTCTTATCGTTAAAAATGTATTTGAAAAGAATGAGTTTTTTTTTAACATTTTCTCCTGTCGTTCAGTAACAAGCCTTCCTTTTGACTTGTTAAGGCATAGGTTCAAAAAGTCTGTCTGAAAAATCAGGTGTCAGACGTCCATTTGCACTCTGAAACAGCTTTCACTTGGTTTAATTATTCCTTAGGGACAAAATCCATAGTCCTTGCACAAAGTCAAAGCAGCTGACATCTTTTAAAGTTTTCCTTTTCGGCAGCAGTGGAGATAAAGTAACCGAAGAAGTCTGTTATTTTTCAATGAAATCACCAGAATGCTGATTCTTATAAAAACTACATCTTATATATACACCCGCCAGCCACTTCAATAAATGCACCTGAACTCTAAGAATAGCATTAAAACGTTCCTTTGTAATAAAATGTACGGTTACTGCTGCTCAGGTGACCCTGAACCATCCCTTCGTTATGCTGCTACAAGCCAAGACTGTTCCGGGACTTCCCATGATGCACTGAGCCACTCTCCTCCACTGTCCTCTCTTTCATACTTTTATATTCCACCTTTGCATGTCATTAACTTTGTGTCTTCTCTCTCCTCTAGTTTGTGTTTTGTCCTCTGGGCAGATATCTCCACACACTTCTGATCTGCAGCTACCGACCTGAAGAACCCGCCTCGTGCTTATTTTCTCTTGTGAGCTGTTTATCTGTTTTACTTTTCCTAACCGGTTGAGGCAGATGACCGCCATCCCTGAGCCTGGATCTGCCAAATGGGAAAGAACTCATTGGATTTGTTGGGTTACTTGCTATATTATAATACTGCAAAGTCTTGACCAGCTATGTTAGACGCCCTGAAATGACTTATATTGTGAATTAATGCTATTTAAATAAAACTGAACAGAACTAACTTAATCTAATGCAACCCAATGCAACAACTCAATCATTAATTCTACTTTTACAAAGCTTCTATATTCTTTGGCCCTGTTGACGTTGATTATTCTACTTTATGTTCACTGACAGAGGGCACAGTTCACCCATCTTGTTGACCTCCATCATGTGAGCTCATGCCATGCCAGCGTACCGTACAGGGTGTCTTCTGAATCCCTGTCTGGATCCTGAAGGCTGCTGCGCTGATGTCCTCAAAGCGGAGGTACTGAATAGGAGGTCTGGGGACAATCCTGAACTCACTGAGTCTCCTGGTTTTGGGAGGGTTCATGAGCATGATCTCAGGACCCCCCACCACTTTGGTTTCATAGACCTTCACATCCCCGTTGAGAAGTTCCTCCTCACCAAAGTCCTTCAGACGCTCAGGTTCAATGAGGGTTGGTCTGCGCACCGCGGTGCCGTTACAGACCGAGCCGCATTTGTAGGAGCCACTGGGCTGACTGGGGCCCAAATGCAACTCCTCTCTGGGAAAGAAAACAACAAATCGACATTAGATTGTGACTGTGAATCAGATCTGCTGCATTTGACAAAGCTGACTTTTGCAGAAACACTGACTGCACAGATTAGACTAGACAGGGAGCAACTTAGTGCTTCTAGTCAGCATCCTCACACTGAAAATATTTGCCAGAAATATGAACATTTGCTGGATATAACTTAAAGGAAATGACGGATGACATGAAGCCATCCAAATCCAAAATGCAGACGCTTCAAGCTTGCCTGATATCAGTCCGCTGCAGTAAACAATATGAGCTCTTATCATTTAATGTTGCTGTCACTATACACATGGAAGGATTCAGCTGGGATCAGGTCTGAAGGCATGCTATTGAACATGCTATTGAAAAAAACTAATTTACAATTCAAGGGTATGCTTTGAAAAGATTTGGTAAAAATGTGTGAGCTTTAGTACACAAAAAATCTTTCATAGACTTGATTCAGTACAAAAGAATACATTTTTAAAAGAAAAGCTGTTCTGCTATTCTGTTTATCTCCTGGATCTCTCGAAACAAATTAAAAATGTTTCAGACGCCCAAACTTAGAGATATTAAACTTTCAGTAATTTATGTCTGGAGCATAAAATTGCTATGGATGTGCAGCAGCTGGATAAATGGGCTGCATTAAAATAACACGCTGCTTGATGAAGAAAAAACAGTGAAAGAGACAATTTGCTTCTCCAGAAATTCACCAAAACCTGCAGCTCTGTTTCTTGTCACATAATGACCACCACCAAGTAAATAGGCTTTCACTGTGGATTCTGACCTCACTGGTCACACTTACATTGACCAGTGAGCAGCTCACACATGGACTACACTGTGAGGACCTTGTTATTGTTAGACTGTCTGTAGTTATGGAGGTGTATTTTTAGTGGGGTGCAACAAAAGCCAGGCTGCACTGCTGGAGAAGGAGCAGAAAAGAATCCATCTCCAGAGGATGCATGAACAGACAAAGAAATGACAAACGCACAACATCCACTTCACGATTTGCTCACGCAGACAAGAATGAAGACTACAAACAGACTGCTATAGAACGGAAACACTATCATCCAGTGCAGAAGGCTAAAAGCAGCAACAGAAAGAAACAGAAAATGGGCAGCTGGCACATATTGGGGTCTTTGTATACGTCTGAATGTACAGTTGCATGTGTTCAGCTTTATATTCCTACGAAGTATAAATGTATAAAATAGAATACAATAATGCAATAACATTTGCAGGGAGGAGACCTGAAGCACGACAGAGAGAAGGACTTAACTGTGTCAGTTTATTTTAACGATTTTTCCCACTCGATATGAATCAGAATTATGGGTTATCTTTGCATGGCCCCTGGCAGACGTTATCAGTAAACACTTTCTGCCCACGTACATACAAATCATGTTTTTGATTCAACACATTTTAATGACGCACTAAAACTATAAAGTAGATATCACTGCTAGAGTGAGTCTGGATTTGAGTTTGGATGTAAAAGTCTTTCTAATGTGACAATTTTACTTTTTTTTTTCCATCTGGAGTCGAACTGACCTAAACCCTTCAGTGAAGGGACGCGACCATGCCCCCCTACAACACCGTCCCCTCATTCTTCAAGATGAATTAATTCACCTTTCACGTCAACCCAGCTTCCCCTCTCTAAGACAGATTGCGTCTGTAAGTCAGCTTATGATTCATTGGTCGTTCAGATCTTCTTTTTAGGAGACACACAAGCGATTAAAGTGGCATTTTAGGGCTAAACGCAGGACGGTTTGATTTATAACAGCTCAGTGAATGGGCATTTGGTATAATCAAACATTCCAATTCATTTAAATAGTTCAATTCCTTTTCAAATGCACTCTCATTTGTCAGATGTCACTACATAAAACTGTGGACGTTTCTCTCACCACGTAGTTAATAAGGAGGCCCTTTACACGGTATAGACATAATAATAGGATTACACACCTTGGAGATTTACTCACTCACTTAGCTACTAAAGCAGATCACAAATGGTTAACGTTAGAATAACATTGTGCTGTATTAAAATCTGCAGTAGGAGGAAGGGTTTGCTGCATCGTAATGGTCCGGATAGAGCAGAAGAAGAGTAAAACAAGAAAGAATCTGCTGCTAAAGGTGCTTTAGCGAGTGTACATTGTGCTAGAATAACAATAAAAGGCCACCAGGTGGAGCAGCTTCCCCAAACAACAGTGTGACTCTCTCAGACGTGGCAGCACTCTGCAGAGAACATCCCGCTCTATTTATATCACAATGATCTATCATAAACAATACGGTGACCTTTCACCTCGTCTCCTGGGTCCATTACTGCTCTCTGCCCCACTTGTCCGACCGTCACTTTCAGTCCCATTATTCAAGCGCACAGTGTGCTCTTAGCACGACTGTGAATAAGGAAAGTCCAAGGCTGCACCTGTGATAAGGGCGCTTCGCTTCAAAGGCAGAGTTCAAAAACGGCATCAAAGGGGCGAAAAGAGCAACATGGCAGCCTCAAAAAGCTTCATCAAAAGAGAAGATGAAGAGCCGAAATGGTAAAAAAATAGCTTCATTTCTTTCAAAATGGTACAAAAAAAAAAAACAAAAGTGAGGACAAAGCAAAAAGTGAAGGAGACATTTCAGCCCACCAGGCTTTCATCACTGCACTATCTCAGCGTCTTAATGTCCTTTTAAAGACTAAATGCCCTAACTGGCTGCTGCACCGCTTCCTTTTCCGACTGGAACAACGTTCATTTGGGAAAAGAAAATGTCTCCCAGCACCGCATGACCCTGATTGCTGATGCTGCATCGTTGTAAGTGCTGTTCCGAGTCTTGCTGTCGTTACGGCCCGGGTTCAGCAACTTTCTTTGCACTTTTTCAGGTTCTTGTTCATTTTATTTAACCCTGGCAGTCAACGTAAGCTCAGGCAAACACGGGAGTGACCTTAATCAAGTGCTTAGGGCAAATACCCTGAGCAGCGAGTACCCGGTTTGATTCCTGAATGACCATTTACTGCAAATCATTCCACTGTTTCTCTCCCTACATTTCATATCTCTCTCCAATGTTTCTTTCAGCTTAAGGCATAAAATGGCTAAAGAAAAATGTTTTTAAAGCTCAGACAAACAGAAAAAAGCTGCAACTTAAAAAAACATGTTTGACCCTGAATGTGATGTAATGTCTTGACTACACACAGCAATGCCACAGTTCTGCATTTAAATGGAGACTATTTACCCATTTAACTCAATGCCAAGTTATAATTTCTCTCTGTCTTTCTCCAAGTCTTTCAAATATCCTGAAAAGAGGGAGACAATAAGGTAGAGAGGAGCAGGTCTACCAGGATTACTAGGGTTGGAAGTGCCTTTCCTCTGCAAGAAGCTGCAGAACAGGAAGGAGAAGATGGGGGGTGGATAAGGAGTAGACTATTTCTGTAAGGGACCTGGATGGAGCAGGAGACTGACAGAACCTTGATTTGGGGGGTTTCAGCAGTCAAACATGGATTTGAAGGACAAATCATTGTTTTTGTTGAGCGCCCATGTGAGGAGGAAGAGGAGGAGGCAGTGGAAAGGACCGGAGAGCTGAGGATGTGGTTGTTACAGTTGTTAGGCTGCAAACACAGAGGTTATGGAGGAGGAATGGAAGTAGCTGAAGACTGTGTGGAACTAAGAGCTACCTCCAATGTTAGGGTAGATCTGTCACTACAAGGCTGATCTAGGTAGGGAAGAGGTTCGGAGCGTCCAGGGGGGCTACATGCTGTAATATCCCACCTCTGCCAAAAGGGGTCATTCTCCTCGCTGTCTTTAAGTGCAGGCTTGGGTGAGTACAAACGCTCAAGTCGCTCGCTCAAGTAGCTTGAGTAGAATAACTGGGCGGCAAAGTTCATCCTGGCCGAAGGACTTCCCTCCTACAGTCCAACAAGTGTCTGTCTGTGAATCCCTCTCCTGGTCCGGCTGCTGCGTCGTGTCCGAGGGATAACAGGACACTAAAATGCTGCTGCTCCCTCGGCGTTACGTCCCTGTGCCAGCTCCTTTTCTCTTTTCCTGCCCAGGGGCTATTTAAGAAGGGATTACAAGTGGACACATGCACCGAGGATGTGGAGCGTCTCTCCAGTGGCCTGGCCACTCCCAGAGCTCTATTCCGAGGCCCAGACCGGGATTACTTCCCCGTTCTGTGACGTAGTGCTAATCAGACGGTCTAAGGAGATAGATGCAGACTTAAGATTTATCTAGGGAGCAGTGATCTGGGGGCTCAACCACACAGAAGAGACGACTATGGATGGCGGATCAGAAATGAAGGATTGTGCGGCAGGAGGGTGTGCTAAAGGGGAAAAGGGGAGCGTTTGTGTCTAGGACATCTCTTGGGCTAGTTCCTGTGCCAACAAACTCTGTGACAAACAAGATAACAACACTTATATCTTGATTTCCCATTTCTAGAATCAAGATGCATTACTTTTTTAGCTGCTTCTGTGAAATAAATAGAGAGCAACAACAGAGGATTCCTGTTCAACTGTCAGATGTCAGTGCTAACATCTAGGATGTTGCTAAAGGAGAGAATGACTTCCCTGGATAAACTCAAGCAACACAAATGAACAGTACATGTAGTGATCTGAAGAGGCGAGCCAGCCAGACAACACAGACTTAAGGGAAAGTGGAGAAGAGGTAAATTGGCTGTTGCCAGCACCCAGCAGGCAGTCCAGAGCTCTATCAGGTGTCCAGTGTGGCCTTCAAATCTGAAACGAAGAGTGACAGTGATGCCAGCGTTCACTTGTCAGGCTTCTTCAAGGTGTAGCCCCAACCCACATCACTACGGGAGCGTATATAATCACAGATAATCCCTTTAGTGGATTGGAGATTTTTAACTGCTTGTATGAAGGAGTCTTAGCTGTGTAAATGGACTAACTTTAATCAGTTTGTACAGAACTTTGATCTTTTCTGGTTACATCATATCTTCTCGAGTCCGGATTGTTGGCACCCAAGCAGATTTAGGGATTGACATGCTTGCTGCAAATGCAAGCAGTGGTCTCTAATCATTACACCATCCAGTACCTCTGGTTAGTTTGCTTTCCCTTTACTACAGGTAACTGACACTTGTGGTAACAGACACTTAGTAAACCTACAAACTCTTAAATAAGCGAAGCCTGTTGCCTCTCCTCTTGCATCTCTGGATGGTTTTGCTCCATGCGCATCCAGCTCAGTCAAGTTTAGCATGTTAAATGCTAGATCACTGTGAAATAAATGATTTGTTTCTCATTACTAAAACGTGGTTAATGCCAGTGATTATGGTGATTATGGAAATCCACCAGCGACAGCTATCTGGTTGTATTTTTGGTTTGGCTGTGATTCATAGAGATAATTTTGAACACTCTCAGTATTCTTGTGGGAACTTTAATTACTCACTTTTGTGTGAAAAGACAAAGCATCTTTGTGTTTTAATTTGCAGACCCCATGAATCTAAGTGTGGTTTTATTCAGGGATTCTCTGACTTATTAGATCTTAAGGCTTCGGTTTGCCAGAGTTCTTACTTTATGTTATTTTAACATTCATGTTTGCTGTTCTTCCGGTTCACCTTCTGACTGAGGATTTTATTAAAATTATAAACTCTTTGAATTTGGTTCGGTTTGTTGAGGGTTCAAGTCACACCCCACTACTTTCAATCTTCAAAGTGTTGAAATCTGGGAAGATAATTTGTGTGTTTCTGACCACAAAGTAATTATCTGTAAGGGTGCCCTTCCAGCTCCCTCAGTATCTACCTCTGTTTCCTCTCACTTTCTCAAACTCTGCTGATAGCTTTTGAAAAGTCTTTTCAAATGAGTTTTTATTCGGTCATGCACAACAATCCAATATGTGCACTGAAGAATTACTTAATCATTTAAATTATGTGTGCAAAGACATCCTGGTCTCAAATGCAATTGCAAAAGAAAAGTTGAATCAATTCAAAGCTCCCCTGGCTAAACTGTCACACCGGGTAGAAAATGTAGGCAGGCTAAAAGGAAATGGAAAATGGATAATTATTTGTGTCATTTATATATTTGAAGGAACCGGTGTTCATGTATCAAGGACACTCGGTCCTTCTATTTTTCAAGCATCTTTTAAACAAATTGCCAAAGCCCCAAAGTCCTTTTTAAAACAATCAATTCTTTAATCAACCCACCCACATATTGAAGCTTCTGCCATTAACTGTGAAGAGTTTTTATCCTGTTTCATCAGCAAAATGAATGATTTCAGACACCAGATCTGCCAACTCTCCACTTTGCAATCCCCCTACTTTGCTGAACAATCTAGAGGCTGTGTCTCTCTGCAACATAAAGGACACAGTCACTAAACTGAAACCATCTTCTTGCCCATCAGACATTTCCCCTGCTATCCTAACCATTTTAAATACCTGTCTCTATACCGGCTGTTTTTTCTTTTGCATTAAGCATGCAGTAGTCAACCCCACCACTGAGCCTCTTGATTCAAAAATCATTAGATTTATTTGCAAATTACTGTGCTTAGCAAAAATTACAGAGGAAGTGGTTCTCTCAAATATAGTGTATTTTATGAAAACGGTTACTACGCTTGATCTTAGCTCAGCTTTTGATACCATCAATTATGCAGTTCTCATCAATCGCCTTAAGAAGTGGGTTGACTTTAAAGATACCACTTTAGATTGATTTAGATTTAGAAACAGAACATACTCAGTAGCTGGCGTTGCCTCCTCTTCAGTGGCCCCTCTGGCCTGTGGTGTTCCCCAAGGCTCCATCATTGGCCCCTTGTTCTTCTCTATTCACATGCTTACATTTAGACATATGTTCCGCAAATGAAATATTCATTTTCATTGTTGTGATACCCAAATCTACATCTCATTACGAAAAAAACACAAAAACACAAAAAACAGATAATGTCTTGTCTCCTCAGAAATCAAGTGCTGCATGTCCCAAATCTTCTTTAAGCTAAATTGAAATAATTCTGTTTGGCCCTTCAGAGTCCTAATCCTCTTTTCAGAATAGTCTAGGCTCCTTGTCTGTAAATCTCAAACCAGCAGCCAGAAGTCTATTGTGGAGCAGTGAGTGAGCTCTCTTTAAAAAAAAAAAACAAACAAAAAAAACAAGTCATTCAATCATATGTCCTTCAGGTAAAGAGCAGTTTAAAAATCAAGTGTTTCCTCAGATGCATTGATCTTGAGAGGTCAGACAGGCATTCATATTATCACATCTTGACTATGTATTCATTGCATTACATTAAAAAATTTCCCGCTGCAGTTAGTGCAAAACACGTCTACTCCATAGAGCACTCTGAGGGTCAACACCACCACCACATCCATACTGAGGGTCTCAGCATGCGTCAGATGAAGTGCCTTTAGACAGTTGTGTCTGAAACCTACACCCACTCACAGAACTGAGACAGCGTCAGATAATTTTTGCAACTTACCAAAAACCAAGATCCCGACAAGCCCGGCCGCTTCTTGCAGCAATTGACCAAGTGAGTGGCAGTGAGAAGCAGGATTTGAACAATCTTTCAAGCTCCTTTTTTTTTTTGTCTCAGTTCCCTTTTAACATTTTTAGTCCACAATTGTCACTTTTTATGAGAACAGCTGCATACAACATGCTACCATCTTGCCTCTACAAACATTTTAAATTACTTAATTTCTGTCTTTTGCCTACTTTATAAGCACTCGTTTCAGCTCAGTGTGAGAGTCTATACTGCTGTTTTGTTGCTCTCCTTCACCTTCGTCTGCTCTCTGTTTCACTGTGTGTCTCCTTTGTTGTGTGTCATAGCAAAACAGAAACACGTGGACTAGAGCAGAGCAGATGAGAGTGAAGCAAAGGAGAGACAAGAGAAGGGAAGATAATGTTATTCAAGTTGACAACAACTCGCTCTGGCCTTTCAATTTTTTACAACGCTAGAGCGGGCTAATGGCTGTGGCTGGATTATTTATTGTTGGCTTTCGTGTACACAACCTTTCTGAAACCTAAAGGGAGGTGTGGTTTGTTTTGGTCTGAGATGTTGGTGCGTAACCACTGGCAGAATCTCTAAATCCACAGTTATTGTCAAGTGACACAAAGTCCACATCTGTACCGGTGAGCAGAGACCTCAGTGAGTGATCTGGTTTCAGTAAAGACGGCTGACGCACCACAACACCTGGAGCAAGCAAGTAAATTCAAATATAAAGAAATTCTGCCTGAATTCATCTTTCCCCACACTGACGGCGGTAAACACTAAACCCAGAACCCATTAGAGTCTGTCTGTTAATTACAACTCCAGGAATTGAGGAATGGTAGTGACTCACTGTAGTGAATCACTCTCTAATTTCAGGTACGCAATTATCACTGCAAATGGAAAGAAAGAGCTAAAATTGTGCAGTACAAATGTTAAATAGATGTTTTGGAAAATAGGAATTGATGTGTTCTGTAACAGCGCGCCAAAACGTCGTATTTTTTTTGGTGTTAAGTTGTCCTTTTAGCCGAGCTGTCGATAGTTTCTGTAAGTACAGCAAACCCAGAATAGGATTACGACACAGTCAAGGGAAAGCAGAGGTCAAGTCAAGACTTGTCTTACATCAGGAGTGACCCGATAGCAGAGTGCTTAGGGCACAAACCACATGGGGGCAAATGCTGTCAAGCAGCGAGTCCACAGATCAGCTCCTAACAGGCTATACCTTTACTGCATATCGCTCCCCCTGCTCTCTCGCCTCCATGCTTCCTGTCTACGTTTACGGCTCCTGTCTAATGTAGACAATAAAAAATACCAAAGGAAGGAGCAGACTACACACACACCACCGCACGTCTCACTCAGATTAGATTTAGCTTCTAAAAAAGTGGCAGGAAGGAGGTGTATGCCAGGGGCCAGGCGGGCTCTGAGAGCTGAGCTCAGATCTTGGCAACAACAAGGTTTAATGAGGTCCATGCTGAGGTGGAGTCAACTGATGGATCGGATAAAACAACCACTGTTTGGGGTCCCTTTAATCTTTCTCTGCTCGTAGTGACATCTGGTCATCATAACTACTGACAGGCCTTCTACTGAACAAAACAAAGAGACGTATGGACAGCAGGAAGAGGAAGGCAGGACAGAAATAGACGGGGAGAAGGTGACCCCGCCTCCAGCAGTCTGTCACACCACGGATCAGCGTGACGCCGCCTGACTGGACGCCATGATCCTCCGTAGGTGTTCTTTACCATGTGTCTGCTGGCCAGAGCTGAACTTACATTCAATACCAGAACCAAGAGTCATCACAGGATGAACTCTGACACACTTTTAGATTTAGAATTACGCTATTTCCAGTAAAAACAACAAAGAAAGCCCCACTCCATATACTGGTTCACATTTAAACTCAAGCTGAACACAGTAATATGCAGCACAAATGAAAATACACGCTATTTACCAAGCTGACTTATTACCAAAAGGATAAAAATAAACAGGGAGTTTAATGTCTTTAATATCATAGATCAGTTTTACAGAGTACAATTTAGAACATGCCATGTAAAACTATATACTATTCACTTTAATATGATGCATTTGTATTATTCCACACGTTTGCATGTTTAATTAGGACCTCACATTGTGTCATAATGGTGCTCATCACACATTTACATATATTATCATTAATTTTTTTTTTTTTAAATTGTAGCTCAGCTCTTTTATTCAATTACTTTAGATTAGTTTAATATAACATATGTATGCATATGTATATAACATGTTGTCTTAAATGCAACTTTTAATATTTCTCCACATAGGGTATTTAGATGAGAAACAGCATTTGTGCTACTCAACTCTAACTTATTTTTGCATTTTATCGATGTGAGATAATGTTTTCTAAATAACTGAAACAGCAATAATAAGAAAAAAAAATCTTTTAGTAAATGTTTAAACACTTCTGAATGTGTGACATTAAAAAGAAATGTCTTTCTTGTGTGATGTTCAACACACCAAATTCATTCTGACAGCATGAAATTATTCTTCTTTTACTCGTGTTTTTATTTTATTTTTTCTTTGAAGATTTGTGACTTTTCTCTGACTTTGGTAAAACTATGAAACAAATCTCCAATCATGCTGTACATGTGTGAGATACGACCTTTGATTGTTTCTTTGCCGTGTCCTTGGCCCGCATCCCTGTTTCTTTTTTATCTGCTAATAGACAGAAATGCCTCCTGACTCTCATCTCTCCTCTGATCCCTTCGCTCACTTTTCCTCCAGTTTTGTTTTCTGCTGCTTAACCTGCAGATCTGCTTAAGCAGCCAGACAAGTGAGCAGAGCAGGAGGCTGAAGCCAGTCTGGCTTAATGAAGATAACCACGTTTACTACGTAACCGTCTTGCCGGTCTTGTGTGTGGGAAGGTGTGTGAGTCACACAGACGGAAAGAGAAGTCAATTCAGTGGGAATAACAGGAACCAATCAATGCGATTATAAAGGGCATTCTCTGCTGCGGAATTGATTTTGATCTCTCTGACTTCCTGCCGAACAGAAATAATGGCTGATTTTCCCAGAAAGAGCCCGGCAGCCTTGAGCCCTACTGCTCTCTTGATTTTTATTGAAAAATAAGGTTTAAATAATGAAACTAAAATAAATAAAGAGGCTGCCTACTTCAACGTTACCCTGGCTGTGGGTACAAAAAAGAAATATTTGATGCCCTGTGGTGCAGTGATGCAAGTCAGTGCAATTCAGTATTAACAGAGTATAAATATCACATTTAAATCTTATTTTTGGAAGCAGGTACAACACTTACGTCATGTTTTCCTTATAAACAATGCAACAAATGTGAAATGTAAAAACGCCAGTAACACAAAACTGATAACCAGAGTTCCCTTCTTTAAAAGTCAGCCAGTGTGCAGCTGAAGTGAAGTGAGAAATGAGTCCCCTCCCCAGTACATCCCTCCCGCCCCTTCCCAGATACTGAGCTTTTTGTCCTGCATCTAATGTTTTCATTAGGAAACTGGGCGCAACCAAGTCAAGGAGGGAAGGATTAGAGAGCAAGAGAGCGAACCAAGGGCAAAGACGGAGAGTTTTGGAGGACAAGAATTTTTTGGTTTTTCAGTCTCATTTTGAATTCAAGGAGAACTTGGGCTTCTCAAGCTTTCTCTCTCTTTTTTTTTGTCTCTTTCACACTCACTTCACTCTTCGTCACCAGCTGCCTGCCAGGTTTCATCATGATCTGCCCTTTCAGCTCCTCGCTTGGATTTCTCCTCCTCCTGATTGGCTACGCTGCAGCAGGTAAGCGCTGGAGTTGGGTGTGGTCTGGAGTCACGGGTCAGAGGTCAGAGGAAGAGGACACACAGCTGGTGGAGCAGCTCGGTGTGCTGATTTACTGAAACAGATGATTTACAGATCAGTGCAGTGGAGATACGTCCTCTGATGTGGACTGTTACATGTGAAGTCTGTTACATCGGCAACAGTATGCCCCCTTTTTTTTTTTACACAGAACAATACATTTAAGACTTTTCACAGATGTGTGTAAGTGTGTATAGATGATGGCTGGATGAACACACATGAAGCCGAACTGACATCATACATGTGCATCTGTGTGTGTTCGGGGGTTTTGCCAGCACATCTGGTTCTAATTTGACTGCAGCTCTGGCTACGCTTAATCTAATATACTGTCAGCATAGTTTCAAACAAGCACTTCATCTATCATGTTCATCTGCCTCCTTCTTACCAGTGTGTTAGCTTTGTTTACCAGTGTTACTAAAAATCCAGTGGAAATTCACAAAAAATGTGAGCCAATCCTCCAGAGCCAAATCTGTGAGTGACGGCCTCAAGTGTGAATTACACTGACTTCATACTGCAAGAATGGCCAACTGCAGGAAGCAGAAGGAACGAACACACGTCCACTTAGACACACAAATGAACAAAGCAGCTGATGTCATCGTAAAAGTTTTATTTTATTTTACACATCAAGCACAAAAACATTCATGTGGACGCGTGATTCTGATTTAAACTGCCTTATATGTGATTTTTTGAAAAGCCTTGCAGTGAAGAAAGTGAAGATGAGAGGCCGGAAAAGGCTCCATTCGCTGAATAAAATCTGTGTTCTGGTTTGGCTTCAAGCCCAGCAACATGCTGAGGCATAAGCTTGTCCACCCAAAGAACAAAACTCTGAGGCATAGGCAGAGAATTGTTGAGTACAGAGTTTAATGCAGTGAGGAATGCACTGCCCGGTACACTGAGCAAACTCAACAGTTGCGCCCACATCAAGACAAGGAACACTCATCTGAGGGCAACAATGCACACATTTCATCCAGAGAAGATGGACGGTTCAAAGGACGAGTGAAATAATCTATCTTTGTCAAAGTGGACCTGCCATTACTACAGACAGTACTGGTGGAGGTGGTCTGGAACACTGTCACTGACAATGCAGTCCTGAGATCTTGGTCAGTATAGCTAATGACAACTGTAAGGGGGGGTCAGTTTTATATCACTCAAGCTTTACATCCATTAACACATTTATCTAATGACTCATACGATGGTCAAATGAGTCAATGACTCACATGGGACCTCAGCGACTCTAATAATCCCACAGGAGCTTAACGCCTGGGACTCACCCCCTCAGGAGGCCTTTCAGGTGAGAGGTGAACTGTCTTCAAGAGGCTCAAGCTAGTCCAGTTACCTTTGTTTTACCTCCTAGATGGCTGACAATCTTCACAGACAGAGCGATTTGGCTTGGAAATTCCAGTTGTAAACGTTACAGAGAGTATTGAACTTAGTTAAACTGTCACTTGAAATGTAAGTCAGCATGTAAACACTGGAACCAGCTGAACTATCTGTTGAGGTTGACACATTGTTGGAAAGTACAATGTAAAGTCAACTAAAATCAGCTGAAGCACTGGAGAGCTTACAGGACAACCAGGTGGACAATCCAATAGTATGTTAGCACTGACAGCAGTGGAAACGTTGGTTGATGTGTATGCCAGCAACTGTGTGAGCACTGAAAGCAGGCGAACTGCTGCAGGAACCGTGAGCCATTGAAGCTGAAGATAGCTGAACTTGCTGCATTTATAGCAGCTGAAGTGACATCTAGTTAGAACGTTAGCAGCTCAAATGTCTGTTGTGGTAAATCAGTGGAACTATCAGCTGATGAGTCTGCATGTGTCCTGAAAGCAGTTGAGATGGAAGTTAAAGAGCAACAGGTGAAGGCAGCTGAAACACTTAAAGTGTAATGAGATACGACATCTAAAGTGTCAGAGCTTTTTGTTATTGCACATCACATCATATGACGGACACTGATATGCAGCATACAGCTTCATCACACTGCTGTCGTCCACCGTGCAGGAGCTGTGTATGTACACACACTTGTCTTTTTGTGAACCAATGATCCACATGGATTTCTCAATTTTGCACTGGGCTTAACTCCCTGTTTCCTGTACGGAGCCCCAGAGCTTGAAAAACTGCACACGCACAGAACACTCACACGGTCATTCACCTCTGTCCTCGGGTGGAGTCCATGAGTCACATTATCAGATCTCTGTTTGTTTTTCCTGTTGTGTGTGAGTGGTCTATGTATTACTAACAACATGGGGACCTATGTCTGTACACAAAGTCGAATTATAGAGACCTTTCTTCCTTATGGGGGCACAAAGCAAGTCCCCACAACGTAAAGAATGTTTTAACGTTTAGGATTAAGCTGAACTATAGCAGTTAGAGTCAAGCAAGCATTGGTTATGGATAAAGTTAAAGAAAGTCTCCAGGAAATTAATGTAATGTCCTCTGAAGTCATGGATACACAACAGTGTGTGTGTGTGTTTGTGTGTGTGTGGTGGGGGGTGGTGTTACTATTTCCCAACTCCTGGAACAGTTCTGACGAGGGAAAAAAGTCTTCATATGAGCTGGACAAAAGCAAACATTAACAAACAGGAACAAATTCCTTCTCGCTGTTTGGTAACACAGGCTGGCGATAATACAACATCTCAGCCAGTCAGCTCTTTTGGACGAGCCACAGCAATCGCATCTGCAGTTTATTGCACACACACACCAGCGACACAGCTCCGGCAGACTCGGTGGGTGAGACATTCATCACCAACATCAGCATGTAGCTCTCTGCTGCAAGTTTTACACTCGTAAAGAGGAGCCTGCGCTGTGTACACACTGACACTTAGATGGAAGCACAGCTGTGGTTTGGATGGATTAAAGAGCCCCCCCAACCAACCACACCCCCACCCGAATCCATCTCTCCATTTCTTTTTTTTTTTTTTCTCGTTGTTGATCGGGAAACCAGCAGCACATTCTGTTACAGCGGAAGATTGTGGCTGTTGTGAAATGCAACAAGAAAAACCACCACTTTGATAAATTCACGTCCGTTGTAGGAAAACTTCATGTCTTTTGCAGACTTGTGATCATTCATCTGTCACTGTCAAATCAAAGCAAGCGAGGTTTGCCAAGTCTTCACGCACCCAAGTGAGTTCAACAAAACCCCCCTCTGCGAAGCGCACACCGGGGCAGACATCTGCTATGTCCGCTCAAGGAGAAAGCCTGATGAACTGCTGTACCTTCCATCCATCCTCTCTCTTGGCCTGTTTCCTGCATGCGCTGAACTCGGCACCCCTCTGGTCGACATAATGGAGCCCGTAAAATGTTTCCATGGGTTAAATCAAGGCAGCTTGATGCTCAGGCACGACTGTACATTGGAGGACAATGAGGAGAATGAGATACAGACATCACTCCCGTCTGACTCTGCCGGCTCAGCCTCAATCGCTTAAGGAAGAAAACGTTTTAGATATTATGGACTAAATGACTTGGATGGATGTTGTTTACAGTCTGGCATCAGCAGAAAAACGATTCTTGTATCTACCCATGTTTTTTTTATTTTTTATTTTTAACCTGCAGTGTTTCTGCCTTCTTCACAGTGAGAGTAATTACACAAACACTGTCAATGTGTGTCGATAGCATACCTCTCACCATCTATCACTTTCTTTGTTAGGCTGTAATCTCTCCTAAGAAAGCCTTTGTTCTGGTTTTTTTCTTCATCTGGAGCATCAGAAACTTTACTTTCCATTTGTGCATCCTTCCTGCATTTTTTTCGCCACGTGTTACACCAGGGGTGTCCAATCCTGGTCCTCGAGGGCCACAATCCTGCTTGATGTTTCCCTCTTCCAACACGCTTGATTCAAATGATCAGCTCATCATCAAGCTCTGCAGAAGCCTGAAAACGATCCTGATCATTTGAATCAGGTGTGTTGGAAGAGGGAAACATCTGAAACATGCAGCATTGTGGCCCTCGAGGACCAGGATTGGACACCCCTGTGCTACACCATACCTCTACTTGCTGTGGCCCAGTCCTTCTTCGTCGTCACGGCGGTTCCCTTCTTCAGCGCTGGCAAATCAGTCATTGCTAGTTAACACAAAACACATGGACTTGGTGCCAATCATCAGCATTGTTTGGTAAAGAAGCGCTTGAATGAAATAAGAATTAAGGGTTTTTTTTAACTTTAGCAACATGCCCATATGGTGCTTTTTTATGTGGCAGATGTGTGGCCGAGCATTGCCACCTTGAAGCTGCAGTGTACTGATGATAGTCGTCCATTGTTTCAGGAGGCTGCAGGAAGGAGTAATGTATGCAGACCACACGTGAAGCTCCTGCTGCAGCACTGTTATAGGCCTCCGTTACAGTCAGAGCTACACCAGGCAGAGAGCAGCACAGAAGAGCTGCATCTGTGTTGTAGAGATCCACACTGCAGACATGATTACACCAGTATAGGTCACAAAGTGTCTGAAAACTACCAGTATCCAGCATGTTAACCTATAAATATTACACAACCTTGGTGAAAAACGTAAAGTTTCACAGCGCTGTGCTGGATTCAACAATGGAAAACACAACAATCCCAAAATCAGAGCATGCCATGGACTTGTTTTGCCACAACCCTACATTGGACACACACTGTAAGCATCGCAAGTAATAAGATGCAGAACAGAATGAACCTAAAACATATGTGTATGGTCCACATATGATTTGCGTTCAGCGTAGGCAAGGAACCAGTCCTGCTAACTTGCAGGGTAAAGCGTTGTGCATCATTATTCTTGTCCAGAGTCAGTTTCTGGTTCAAACATCTATCCAACTATCCATTATCTATACACCGTTTTATCCTCCGTAGGGTCATGGGGGGTTGGAGTCTATCCCAGCTGATTTTGAGTGAAGGCAGGGGACCAGTCTATCACAGGGCTACACTTAGAGACAAACAACCAAGCACACTCACATTCACACACCTATAGACAATTTAGAATCACCTCAGCATTTCTTGACTGTGGGGAGAAAGCCGGAGAACCCGGTGAGAACTCACTCTACAAAGAGAGAACAAGCCATCTTCACACAGAAAGACCCCATTCGAATCCTGGATGGTTGAGCTGTGAGGCAACAGTGCTAACCACTGCACCACTGTGCCGCTCCTGGTTCAAACATGTATGGCTGAAATACTCCAATGTTACAACTTGCCATTGTGTAGTGTAGTTTCACAGTGTTTGAAGAGAGCTGTAGCTGAGCTGGTGTGCTCAAGCTGCAGCGAGTATTGGAGAAAGGAGTGGAGAGACAGGTGGGACACATTCCTAAGGAAGCAACATTTAAACCATTTTAAGACAGGTGAGGATTATTGTCATTGAAAGAAAGTTCTACACATATACCTTTAGTACACTGATAAGCTTTTACGTGGGTATTTTAATGACCAGAGAGTGAGTTTTTAGTCAGAGGTGAATATGGTGAAATTAACAGCTGTAGAGCTGCTGCCAAAGACCTGAGACAACCTGAACAAACCCACAGTCTGTGTTTATTTGACAGCAGACTGAATGCCTGGTGTTTTTGTTCTAAAATGAATATTTCCATAAGCTTTCCCATTCGAAGCTCTGTGTTCCAATAAGGAACAACATCCAAGAGAGGACAAAATGAGTAATATAGAGGCATGAGATGGCAGAAGATGGTTAGAAATTCCTCTGTATTTAAAAATGAGAGCTTAAAAGTGTCCAACGTGATTAGCTACTAATCACAAAAAGAGGAGAGAATAACATTTTTGCAGTTGGAAAGAGCTCACTGTAATTTGGCTCCCTGAAAGTTACCGGCTCATTGCCTGGTGGATAAAAAAGAAAAGTTTAAAATGGATCCCAGAGTGCTTTTGCAAGGAATGAGCCTCTGAATATATCCTTGTTTGGTCACTGGCAAGCAGCCGCTCAGAATGATACAAAACCCACACTGCTGAGGCACCCCAACACACCGCCTTTGTATCACTAATGCTCAATAACAACACACGCTGTCAGGCATTTAGCTGGCTGCACACACTTCGACTAAATAAGAGCGACAGCAACGCTGCCAGCATTCAATCAATGAATGAAAAGTTCACTCATTTATAAAGTATAAATTCTATTAATGGAAGCTTGGCCTGCTGCCACTAAGAAGGTGTTAGAGAAGGGAGGCAGAGTCCTGTGAGTGAATACAGGTTTCTCCTCAAATATGCTGCTGGCTTCAAAGAGAAACACATAATTGGAAGCATAGCTGAAGGGGAAAAGGCTGGAACAATGCAAGGATCCCTCTCCACCCTGCTGAGGTGAATTTCCACCAAGAGCACGATGTCTTTCCTCAGTGAGCTGCACAGTTTTACACTCATGCTAGACTTCACATGAGTGAGATCTCTCTCCTGCTACTAAAACTAAAAGCATAGACTGTATATAAAAGATGGATGTACGAGGGTACTTCAGAAAGTTCTCAGCTTCACCCAGAAACAAGGGGCATAACTCGGATTCTGGAGCATAACTGTAGAACTATAAAACCTTATATCATTCTCCACAAAATCTGAATGTTTGAAGCAATCACAGAAAGAAATGGAATCTTTGAGCTGGCTGCTGTTACTCCAGAACAATGAATGATCCGTGCTTGTGTTGTATTTGCTCTCAGATGTACGTCGCTTTGGATAAAAGCAAATGAAATTGTAGAATTCTACAACGCATCACAGCACAGGTGTCAGAAGCAGCCAAGTATGTGTTCGAACTGGACGGTGTGTGCCATAGGTTCTGTGTATTTGTGGTCAGCTCAGCCTTTAACTGAACTCATCTCAGCAGAAACTCCTGTTCTTTCTTGTTTAACTTCTCTGTAGGTTTGTGAAGCGGATTCACAGAGCTCAGAGAATAAAGATGAACATGTTATCAAGATTAATGTGTTTCGGCTTGAGCAGAACATTTTCCTGCCAGGCAGAGGAACTTTCTGGAGTCCTTTCAGTTTTGTATGATAAAACATGTTAATGAGCTTTAAAAGGTTCTGGATGACAGGTTTTTGTATCCAATCCAGTTATAATGTGTTAAACATGGCTGTTGCTTTATACGAACGTATTGACATGAATGATGTCTTGATGTACTCATCTGATCTGATCGTCAAGAATGTGAAGCAAAGTTCCCAAAATGATGAATTATCCCATTAACATCTCTATTGTAGTATTAGAGATTATATCCTTGCAGCTCCTTTAATGGGCATCCAGGTTTGTTCTCTGTGGAATCAGTGTTTTTAGTTCAATTTTTAAAAATAATTCCTGATCCTCAATGTGAAAACCTGCAGAATAATGAAGCCTCTATGGCACCGTTTCGTGGCTCACTCTGTTCGAGGATTACATCCTACATTACAAATAGATCACGCTCAGTTATACATCTGTTCTGCTTTCAGGACCGGATCCTGACCTGCGGCCTCGAGCGGTGCGTTCCAGCGCCTGTCAGGAGCACACAAATCTTCACAACCGTCTGGATGTAGTGGAGAAGGTGCTGTTTCCAAACCCGCCTCACATTCAGCTCCGTGTGGTTTGAAACCATCAGGGTTTGAACTTTTTTATTCTTCCCGTTTGGTGGTAACTTATTAAATGTCAGCTCCATCTGAAGCTACCGAAAGAAATAATAAAATCCTCCACTTTTCCTTTCAAGGATAAGATGTCAACAAGTTTCATTTGTATGCACACCCCAAAAAGAAAAACGCACACCATTTTTAAACGTTTTCCAACTTGCTGATGAGTTAATACAAGTCTCCACAGTCATCTGATGTGACAAACCCTCGACTCACTCTGACCTCACCTTACCAGCAGTTTTGGGCAGCTGTTTTATTCATATGACTGTTTTATTCATGAGTGATGATTCTATTATTCATACTACAACTTATTAATGTATTATTTATACGTCAAACTCACACGTCTTCTTTCTCCTGCAGAAAGTAGAAGACACGGTTGAGAAGTTGGAAGTTGAGCTCGCTACTCTCCTGGATGCCATTAATGCCCCAAAATGGCGTCCCCTGTTGGACAACGCGGGACAGACAGCTGTGGACATTCTGGACGATCCGGAGCTCAGAGGCCAATCTTAAATCAAGCAGGCATCCACGGAGAAGGGACTTGAGAAAGCTCTTGAACTTTGAAGGGTTAACTCTGTTTTTTTATGACCTAAATGTTTACTTTGTAAGAACTTTTGTACGCTTGTGTATCAAAATGAAATTTGCATCTTAAAGGAGGAGGCAGTCTTTTGCACACAGTCACGTTTCCCTGCATTATTTACTGCCACTAATCCTGTGACAGACTTGTGACCTCTTTTCCAGACTCCTTTTCAGTCTTAAAGTCTTTCTCCTGCAGTCAGTAGTGACCCAGGTCATGTTTACCTTGCTTTCAAAGAGATTGATTCACTTTGGAAACCTCTGTTCAGTAAATACACACCCCTGCTCTCCATCGCCCTCTACTGTCCGCAGGCAAACTGTGCCTTCAACGCTGCGCTTGAGCGATAAGGACAAAGACACACAAGACAGCAGATTACTGGAAGGAGATTTATTTCTTTATCAAAGCAGTTAAAGCAGCATGTTGTTGAACACACGGAGCAGTTTCAGTTGGTACAGTAACAAGGCTTTTTCACTGATTCCCTGTAAAAATCCTGCAGCACAAGAACGTTATGCAAAATAGGATCACAGGGAGGAAACGGGGCGGCATGGGATCACGTTTTCTTCTTCATTTGTTTTCTCAACAGGGCACTGAGCTTCAAACTGTATCCACGGAGTAAGACACCTACAGAATGGTACGTCTCGAGAGCATCAATCAGTAAAACAGTTGAAAAGGAGACATGCTGTTGCTGGTCAAACACTAGCACAATGCCTTTTTTTTTATTTTGAAACACCTAACGGCATCCAGAACATTAACACATAAAGAAACATGTCAGGAGGGTTTGCAAGCACGGTCCGATAAGGACTGATCACCGATATCAAGGAACAAATGCCAAAATTGCAGATTAGTACTGTAACTTAGAGAAAAGCTACACTTAAATTAACCAGGAAAATCAATCGTTATCCATTTACAAATGATTAACATATAATTACAAGTACACTTCAGGCCTATGTTGATTCTGTGTCGACCGATTTAATGAGACTCAGAAATAACCAAGCTTTCTTTTCCACAAATGGAAACATTCAGTTTTTTTTTCTAAATAATGCAGCAAATTCTGTATTGGGCTGAAGTGAAAACCTGCCCCAGTTCCAAATATTCTTTCTTTGCTGCACAGACAATAATGCAACACTTAATCCACAACAGAGCATCACACACAGCTGCTGACCTCATTCCACTCATCCACAAGGGTACGAGCCTGTATACTTGAACAAAGCATTAAGACAACCTACAGGATGCCAAAAGGTACTGCATATCATCTAAAAATATCATGCCATCCATATAACACTGGGATTATATGATTTATACAGTTTAAAGTTCACAAAACTCACTGTCCAGAAACAGTCACGCAGGCCAGTTATACTCTGATTTTGGACTGTGTCGATAATCAGGTGAGCGTCGAGGTATGCTATTACCAAAAGCTTGTGCATGCACAAATCAGCCGGTAAGGCTCAAGCTCCAGGCTTTGGCAAAAACAGGCTTATACTGTAAAGGTACATGCAAAAAAAGCACAGGGCTCAAGACTATTAAATTCATCATATATTTTGGCAGACTTGGAGATGCCACTTTATATCTCTTTAACAAAGCGTCTTAATCTAATCATAATGAATAGTGTTTAAAGAAATAGTTCAACTTGCTGGGAAATACACTTATTTGCTTTCTTATAGAAGATGAGGTGAGAAGATTGCTTCCACTCTGATGTCTGAACTCCCTTGCGTACGCCAACAGGGACAGATGTAGACACCGCGGATGTGCAGTTGTTGTTATTCTACTTCTTTCTAGTCCTCTTGATGTCCACTTCAAGGATGCGTTCCCTACATGCGCAGTAGATCGGCATCCATGTATTTCAGCACATATGCTGTTGGAGTTGTCCTTGAAGAGCAGTGTTTGCCTGTCTGTTGCAAAAATTGGAAGGTTCACGCACGTCTGTACGCTCTCTGATGATGAAATTAATCATTCAGACCCGAGCAGATCCTTGGATGCTTGCAGATGCAGAAAGAACAACACTAGCCCAAAGCCTTGATTCTACTCCCTTGTGGACGTGCTCACGGACTGGTGTGGTCACCACGGACGCATTGTTGTTATCACATTACTTTCTAGTGTACACAGAGGATTGTGTTGCACGCAGCAGGTATTCCACGAATAAACACTGCTGCTAATCAGTCCATGTGGACAGTTTGGGGCTGCACATGGATTTGTTGTCTCTTGTGGACTTGGGCAGATGGTGAAATTTATGTCACACAGACCTTAGTGGACCCTCCCATACAGTGGGATGTAGATAGAATAACACTGGCTCAGGTAGAGCTGGGAGGCAATTAGCCTAGCTTAGCACTAGTAAGTACATTATTTTACAAATTACCTGACTTCTGTCATTCAGTTCAGCATCAGTAAAGGTGATTCACACATATGCTGTATTTAACACATGTAGAAAATGCAAATAAGACATTATATTTGACCAAGCAGCCAGTCCACGCTTTGGAGGTATTGACCATCAACCATCAAGGGATTCCTAAAAGTTGGTTTACCTGCAGCTAACATTAGCAAATCATCTATGAAGACAAAATGTAAGTAAGACTGCTTTGATGTTGTGTTTTGCCTCTTTTGGTAGAAGCTGATGCCATGTTCGGGCCACATCAGAGGTACAACTTGTAAACAGCATTCACGTTCACATCCAGCTTCTATCTGGGACTTTCTGAAGCTCTGATATATTGATTTGGCACTAAAAAGTGATGGCAAAAACAATTAAACATGGATGTCCAAAGTGTGTTGTTAAAGGCAATAAGATTACATTTCTAACAGTGTTGTGTTGAACACATCCCAACTCTGGAATAAAACAACTCAACCTCATTACACGTCTTTTAGAATGTGCTTGATATTATTAAGCTATTTGAAGAATTATAGTAGGAACTTGTGTTTTTTTTTTGTCTGTTTTTTTAAGGATTGATTGTGTTAACAAAGACAGCTGGAATTACCAGGAATAAATGACAAGCACAAGAAGACGAACAGCTGCCACCTTGACTTGTACAATGCTGTGATACACATTGCTATTTGTTGTGTATTTGTTCGTGGTATTTCAAGAGTTTCACGCCTGCTTTCCACACAGCTTTGTTTGGTGTCCATGATTCTGTATAATAAGGACTTCTCCCATTAAAGTTCAATGCAAGAAAAGGCATTACTTTATGGATAGCTGAAAACGTCACCATAGCCAGAAAGGCTAAATTTAGGTTTCTAGAGGCATCTCTGTTATCGTGGTCTGCAAAAGTTTCCTTTTAGTTTTGCTCCAGTTTGGAAGTTGCCTCAAGTTCGTTGAAAAATGTGGACTTTTGATTTGGATGTTAATGCAGGGTTAATGAATCAGGTATACTACATACATCAGAGCTATGTGGGAACAAGGCATTAGGTCTTCTTAAGTTTTGAACAGCGCTTGGTTGCCCCTGCTGCTGGTCTTTGTGCTAAGCTAATCTAATTGCCTGCCAGCTCAAGCTTCTTCCTTATCAGACAGACCTGAGAGTGGAATTAATCTTTTCTTATAACTTCTTGGTAAGACAGCAAACAGGTGTATCTCCCAAGATATCTTGCTATTACTTTAAAGCCCCCCCTCCCCTTATCTGAAATAGATAGTTTATACATAATCACATTATGATTGTATAAATTATAGTATCTTCACTTGCAAGAGGAACTGACTTTATGTTATACAGGGAAAAAAAGAGACATACATTCACACACTCAAAGTTCCTTAGAAATGGTTATGCAAATGGTAGAAAAGCTTTGGCATATTTTGCCTACAAGTTGTGCCTGCACACTTGGAAAGAAGAGCAGAATGAAGCGGTGTGGAGCTTCACGCGGCTTTTCCTTAAGTTTACACGTCGAGTTCGCAGTCCCACATAAAACTGTGGTGAGTTTAATTACCTACACTGTATGCTATTTACATGGTTTTCGTTTTGTTAGGCCTTAGGGTTTTAAGGTGGTCTTTTGCTACATATTCCCAGGTGTTGAGACTGAGATGAATGGTGCCACCTTAAATGTACCACTATCACAAGGACAGTCATAGACTAGCTCATCTATAGTACCAACAGCTACACATTTAAGCACAGCCCCAAACCAAGCTCTACTGGGAGGTGATCTTTATTTTAACCAAGCACTTAACGAGATGATGAAGTCTAGTGAAGCAAAAAGGGCTTTCTAATAGATTCTTAAAGGATGAAAGTCTTGGCGATTGGTATTTATTCCCCCGAGCCGAGTTTCAGAATGTTCTCTGAGTCAGAGCATGGTGAAGGGCTAAAATACTACATCTTTGTAACCATTACGGACACAGTGACAAGCATAACCTTTCCCTCTGATTGCTGTACTGATTTCCCATAAATTACAGTACCTTATCATTCTAAAAAAGGCTTGGAAAACGAATAGCTGGCTAACACTTAAAGAGGAAAATCAGACTAACATTCTGACCTATAATGCATTAATGGCTACGATGTGATTAACGAATACTGATTATCATCGACAGGCACAACTTTAAACAGGTTTACAACATGAAACCAGCCACACCGTCTTGGCCGACGGAGAGCAGCCATCAACACTTACTGTAAATGTGTCTCACAAAGGTGTTGCACCAGGAGGAAGGCGCTCCAGGAGAAAAAACGAAAAAACAATCGTTCCAAATTAGGGCACACGTCACATGAAAGAGGCTGGGGGGGAAGAGTGAACTGAAGACACAGGCAATAAAATAAACTGAGTGCCTGCGTGTGCTGAATAATTCAGTCGTCCCCATCAGATTTGGAACAGCGAGGAGAGAAAGGGGAGGCGCCTCCACCAAAACCACTAACCCCCCAAAACCATGGACTGCTATTGCTCAAGATGTCATCATGCTCGTGGAGCTTTCTGCTTAAGAACGACACCTCCTAGTAAGTGATACCTTATTTGTCATGCTATACTGTAACATTGCATAGAAGTTAGAGCTTACTCTAGGGCGGATGGGTACAGTAGACAGAGACTCTCTGGGAATCTGCTTCATTCATGCCTTACCAGAAGGATGCTACTAAAACAAAACAAGAAAAGAGAGGGGTGGGGGGAGATGGTGGGAGCCATTTTGGGTCCTGCTGTGCGTCAAGTCGCCCCGCTGTGCGTTTCCTCCGCTCGGGGCTACAACAGAGGAAGAGGGGTGAGAACGTATCTATCGGCATGGCACAAACACTGCAGCGGCCAGAGAGACCTGCCATCGTCACTGTGAGGCGATGCGCCGCTAGCAGCTGCCGGGGGAGGAGCACACCGAGCCGCACATGCTCAGTTTGGAGGAGGACTCGGGCTCGGGTTCAGGGTCGGGTTCTGGCTCTGGTTCTGGCGCGTCGTCGTCGGTGGCTCCGGTTTCCGCCTCTCCGTCCCCGTCTCCGCTGGCATCGTCGCCCCCGGCCTCCGACTGACCCTCCTCCTGACGCCTTTTCAACCTGAGACACATGGAGAAACAGATATTCACTCTCACAATGGGCACATGAATATGTATACACATGCAAAGCACGCTCATCTAAATTCTAATTTTAACCTTCAACCCTTTGTAGAAGTGATGGCACTCGAAATATCCCCCATTTAATATTATTTCATTATTTTCCCTCCCCGTCCTCATGAGCACATCTGGTCCTCAAAAAAAGTAGTCAAATAAAACACACTTGTGGAGAGAACGAGTGTTTTATATAGCACTGATCACTGCTGTGCGTAATTCTAGACATTAGGTCCTCCATTATAAATAGAAGTAAATTGCCATTAATTAGAGCAATAGGATATAATAAGACATTTGCCACAGAGAAGAATTTCAGTAACGCTGCAGTGGCAGGACATGGTCAATAATAAATGAAGCAATAATTTAGAGCAGCACTGAACCAATATCCCTCCCTTTACATTGGAGAGGGCGCACACTTTATGATATATGGGCTTTATAGATGATATTTATGATGCACTGTGTCTATAATCTACTCACACATACAAAAGATTAGACGCATAATATTTAGCCACAGCACAGTGGACTCCTAAGGAACCTTCTGTCATCGCTCATTTACATAACCAAGTCATTCCCTTCCAGAGGCCCGGCTGTCGTGCAGGTTTGGAGTAATATGAGCCGCTCTCCTATGAGCTGGATGCCGTCCCACATTACACTGCGTGCTCTGTATCAGAGTGGGCATAAATTTGTATTTTCGGTGCCTCGTCCTCACAAGCCGATACAACTTCTTAAGTTTCCTTATCTGACCGTCTTCCGTCAGCAGTTTTACACAGCAGTGATGCTTCAGGGTGTTTCCGCTGTCAGCTCCACATTCATCCGAGCGGTTACAGCTTAAGTGCAGGTGACAGAGGGGGTTTTCTTCAAACTCATCATTACCGTTATAAAACCTTTGAAGCGCATTTTGTTTTTAAAGAAAAACTACAGATTGTTACAAATTGGGTTGCAGATCCGAACAGTTAAAATACAACACGGTGCTTGTGTTGTGTTTGTGGACATCTGGGATGAGCACTGATAGCCCTGCAACAAATCTGACAGCGTAAGAAACCGGAGTAGTCAGACGATCAGATGGGTTTTAGAGACAGCCTCAGGCTAGTCAGTGCTTTGTGTAGAAGAAAACAATGGCAAAGAGTCATTAGAATCAATGAGCAGGGCTGTAACTAACAGTTATTTAGTTAGTTAGAAGTGACACAATAAGGTAGATTCAATATAGTCAGTGTGCACAGCAGACAGTATTTGATTTTGTGTGTTTGGCCAGCTGTTCGTCTGCAGTGTGACGCACAAAACAAAAGCTCAGAAATGGTGGAAGTAAACCTAAGCTGACTGTGGATGAGTTTAATCCACTAATTGGTTAATCACTTTTGGTTTTTACCTCCAATCAAAGACGAAAGTGTCACTATGTTCCCTTAGAGTGAAAGAGAAGATTTTATTTTTTTAAAGATTTAACTTTGAATTTAACTTGTTTAAAGGTTAAGTGAAGCAAAATTACAGCCGCATGTCGTCCTTGTGCTAGAAGAACGACACTTCTCTGGCTGCGCAGCGGCATTACTGTTGAATCACAAAAGAGAAAACTCTGCTTTTAGGCCGTGTTACAAATGGTCTGCTGCTCTCGTGTTCTCTTACTTCTCACGGTTGAAGATCATGAACTCTTGCTGCACCACTTCAAGGCACTCCTGTAGGTAGTCGTTTTCCTGCGGGCAAGTCAACAGACACAAACATCCTGCTCATCATCTGACACATCAACCTAGTTATCGTCATTAAGAACCACTGAAAGAAAAAAAAAAACTTTACGTCAACTTCAATCAGTCAACTTTATGACCTCTGAGGTGGAAATGTCTTTTTGCTCATTTCCTTCTTTCCCCCCTCCGCAGCTCTTTTTAAACAAGTCATGAATTGTTTGTGAGCCCTCCTCAAATTGGATGTTTGGCCCGAGACAAAAATAGAAGCTCATATTTCCGAAAGCACTTGGGGCCATGACAACAGCACTGAGGGCTTCATAATTTAATAATCTCGGTAATAACGCAGTATGAGCACACACACAAGCAGGCACACACACACACACACACACACACGTATGTGCCGCACCAACACAAAGTCTTATAGAGCTGCTATTGTTAGAGGTGCACAGTCTTTGCACACACTGATCGACCACACTAACACATGACACACACACACACACATGCTGACGTTAATAACACTGATGTCATCAGGACTGTCTGATGAGAACAGGCTGTTTCTCATAAATACAGAGAAGGTATGTCCTCTTTCTGCAAAATAATGTCTCAATCAAACATACCAGCGAGGCAGAGGAGACTCCACCTCTGCATGTACGCACTGCTCTCAGCACACACACACACACACACACACACACACACACACACACACACACATCACTCAGGCTTCATCGTGTGTTAATGAGGTTGTTCATGTCTCCGCAAAGTGAAGGTGACATTTACTGTTATTATTTATCCGCTATTTTAAAATCCTTTTTGTTTTGGTGTAATCGTTTTAATTGGAATAATAGCCGACACTAATAATCTTGTTATGACGAACAGCACAGTAGCAACTACCGGGGCTGACTACTCTCGCTTAATCTGCTGATTATTATTAGTTTTTTTGATTAATTAATTAATCCTTTAGATAAATAGCCCCTTACAGCTTGTGGTTTGCAGAATTTCTAATGACCTTTACTTGAGAAAAACAGCAAATCTTCACATTTCAGAAGCCAAAAAAAAACAGAAAATATTTGGTTCTAAATACGTTATTGGAATGTTTCAGGGGAAACCAGCTGCCCCTTTCCAAGGGTAAGTAAAAAAACACCTACCACACGTCTAAAGCTCCCTAATTACCCCCAGTCTTTCTCCCTATCTTTTTACTCATTTAAAAAGTGTTTCTACGAAGCCGCTGCTAGCAGAGATGAATTTACTGCTCCCAGAAGAAGGAACTGATCTTGATGAATAATAATATTCACTGTGCATCCAGCAGGATGTAAAACTTCAACTTGTTCATGTATGTTGATTATTGCTGCCCCTAAATCAAACATAAGGGGGTACCGCGGTCACCACGTGGACTGGGGTGGAGCAGTAGACCACGAGGAGTTGTGGGCTACGCTTTGAATGTGGCATTTTTGTCAAATTAAAAAAAGTGTGCAAATGGACTGTGTTCGCATTTTTATTTTTTGGATTTGGAACACACTCATCTCTACTTGAAGACTCATGAATTTGTACTTTGATTACTGACTTTAAAATGGAAGCTCATTCTCTACATTCACACTCATTAAGGTCCAGAAGGTGGAGTGTTTGAAGAGTTATACGAACAATATTTGGCATTTATAAAAGAATGCACATTGCACCAAACTGGTCTTAGAAAACTTAGATCACGCATTGTAGAAAGAACCTTCATGGCATTGTTCTTTAAATCCTACAGAGTCGATTTCTCCTATGATCTGCTGGTTTGGTAACGTCACATAAAAAAGCACACCTGACGGCACTGTCAGAAACACAGAGAAGATCGTAGGAAACCAACAAAGAAGCCTGTCTGATCTGTTTGACAGAAATGTTCATTACTGAACTGTGCTCTCAGACAGCGATCACCCTCTGCAGCCAGAGTTCACTGCTCTGCCTTCAGGCTCAAGCTATAAACCACCTCAAATTAGGTTTGTCGCTACAAAAGCTCATTTGTTCCTATTGCAATCAGATGGCCAAATTAAACAGTGACATCAGAGCCTTTTGAGGATTTAAATTATTCTTCCATCATCTAAGCATCTAAAATCTGGATGTTTTTTTGTATTTTGTGTATATTTTCATTCTTTATCTGAAGCTGTATTGTTAAGTGATGATTTCATGGTTTCTTTACATTTTTTCTGTCAGGCTGTTATCCTGCACGTTGCCTGTCTGGGGTCATAATAAAACTCAACTCAAGGCTGCAGTGTGGGTGTTGGATGGACCCAAATAAAACCCTGTGAAAGAGTGAATCGTCTAGTTTATAATCTTTAGTTTCTGTATGGCTTTAACAAGCATACAAAGTTAAACCAACAGCCTGCTGGTTTCAGCTACATATGGAAGTGCTAATTATCTTCTTGTCTAATTTTAGGCAATAAACTGAAAAGAAAAGAAAAAAAACACGTTCCCCAAAATGTCAAACTATTCTCTTAAATTTCAAAAACCCTATTTTGGTTTTTAGATAGAACATCCTGCTGTAATGAGCGGATTCCCTCCTGTTCACGATGGAGTTTATTTTAAAACAGGAGTAAAATACCCAGTGTGGCAGTAAAGGAGAGATTATTGCCTATTTGGAGATATGCATAAACACAAAAGATCATAATACTAGTAAGCAGGACATTTACAAGATGCTTGTACAGTAAATCTCTGAGTTATTCATTATGTCTGCTGAGTGGAGAATAGAGGTAATTCACAACAGCTGAGATGCTGGGATTTGACTCAAATCCAATCTAAAAATATGCAGGTTTGACAGGAACTGACAGACCGGAGACCAAGGAAGACCTGAGCTGCATTGTTATCGCGGACCAGCCCAGACTCTTCATGTAAGCACTTTTAAACTCCTGCAGCAGGTAATAGTAATTTGCCGCTGTGCTCTTTAAAATCCTTTGCTTTTAGCACCTACATACCGAAAATGACACAAACATGATGCACACAAGGCTACAGAGATCAAATTAGCAGGGGAGCAGCAAGTCATGGAATTCCATCATGATAAATAACCCTTTTAAATGTGAAAACACTAAAATTAGCCCTTTCTGTCATCAAAGGGAATAGGGGCCTTTCAACAGATGCAGTGACATCTTGAATTCCACCTTCATCCTCGCGGCTCCCAAATCCTCCTCCTTAACAGAACATAATGCTTTTAATGCCGAGGTTATAAAGCATTCCAGCACTTTATCTCTTGTATCTAAAGATGAAAGACTAATTAGCAAATGTGAGGAATGGGACTGTTTGAATTCATTTATTTATAGTGGGATTTGTTTGTCTTTAATGTCTTCCACCGTGTTTTTTCCCGACTGTGTGTCGTACTGTTTCAGGTCAAACGTGGAATCTCTGTCTTGGTAAAGGTTAAGTCAATTACACACAACAGTGGAAATAAATGTCGCACTTTATCGTCATCTTGCCTTTTCCCCTGACATGATCTAAAGCTGTGCTGATGTACATGATGTACTACATCAACAACAAGTGGAAGAATTATTCAGAACCGGCACAATCATTTGGAGTGTTATCAGCAAAATGTGTTGGAAGCAACAAATTCTTTAGAACAGGGGTGTCCAATCCTGGTCCTCGAGGGCCACAATCCTGCTTGTTTTAGGTGTTTCCTTCTTCCAACACACCTGATTCAAATGATCAGCTCATCATCAAGCTCTGCTGAAGCCTGATAACGATCCTGATCATTTGAATCAGGTGTGTTAGAAGAGGGAAGCATTTAAAACATGCAGGATTGTGGCCCTCGAGGACCAGGATTGGACACACCTGCTTTAGAAAAATGCTCTCTATGACTTACAGCACTCTCCATAATTATTGGCACCCCTGGTCAAGATGTGTTAAAAAGCCTTAAAATAAATTCATTTTTTATTGCAGAAGCATACTCTCACACTGAAAACTGTAGAAAAACGGAAACTTCAACTCAACTCAAATGAATTGTTGGCAAAAGGGGGTTGCACTAACATCAAGGGTGCTGATAATTGTGGCTCACATGATTTGATGTAAAGAAATTATTTTTTAATGTGGGATTTTTTTCACACTGAATAAGTGCACTTGAATTAAAGGTTGAATTTTCCTCTTTTTTTCACTGTGGTCCTATATTATTTAGAAAAAAACAGAATTTACTAGAAGCTAAAGAACACATCTTAACCAGGGGTGCCAATAATTACGGAGGGCGCTGTATATACTGGCCCCACAAGATCAATCTCAGAGGTTGCAAGATGAGTAATAGGAGACAAATTCTGAATTTTTTCCTTGTTTTATCTCAGAATTTACTTTCGTTGTAAATACTTGTTAACTGCACCTCTCTCAGATACAGTAATCAAAAAACACACTGGAGAAGTTTAAATGAGAAAAACACATTTTGGAATAACTCGACAAAAGGCCACAAGTACCAGGGCCAGCTCTGGAGGGCTGTGAAAGCACGCGCTTCACCCTAAATATGTTGCACCTTCAGTTAAAATTTGAATAATAAATGTGCTGTCATGTAATTGTGCAGTGAGTGAGAATTCAGGCTGAGTGCACCGCGTAGTTAGTCTAACCATCATTCAAAACTGTGTAAAACAGCAATTAAAATTATGCAGGTCTGCTGAGACGTGTCGGTCTGTGCGTTTGGCACTTTGATTTTCTGGAACCACAGCTGGACAACTTAAGTCTACTGATGCTTGATTACTGTCCAAATATCATAACATGGAATTTGAAAATGGTTGAGGAGGATGAACTGCAGACACCAAGGCTGATCACAGAGACGTAACAGCAACATTTTCAACAGCAAAGTTGTACTAAAGACTTCAGCCATAGTTAGTCTAGTCATCTCAAGTTTAGCAGCTTCTACCACCTGCTTACTTCTGCCAACTGATTTGCCTCCAACCGTCATCCCGCAACAAGTGTCACGCAACCTCAATAAAGTAATGCCTGCACAGGTGTGTATAGAAAATATACCCAACTAGTCTAAAGAGAGGGGTGAGGCATTTGGTAGTTGCCAGGCAACTTCTGGCTGTATCTTTGACCACTCCTCTTGACAAAATTTTTTGACAGTTCAGCTAAATTTGTTGCCTTTCTGACACAGACTTGTTTCTTCAGCACAGTCCACAGATGGGGTTTAAGTCAGGGCTTTAATGAGACCAGCCTAAAACCTTAACTTTATCCTGACATATTGTACCCGTCTGATTTGGGTTTGGGGTCACTGTTTTGTTGGAACATCCAACTGCATCTAAGACCAAACTTCTGGCTGATGATTTTATGTTTTCCTGAAAAATGTGGCAGTAATCTTCCTCCTTTACTTCATATCATTTACTTTGTGTAAAGCACTAGTCTACTGGCCCCAAAACAGACCCAGAGCATAATACTACCACCGCCATGCTTGACAGTAGGTATGGTGCTCTTGGAGTTAAAGGCCTCACCTTCTCTTTTCAAAGCATATTTCTGGTTATTGTGGCCAAACAGCTCATCTTTGTTTTATCTGGTCACAGAGTGTTGCTCCAGAAAGCCTTTTTCTTTTCCATGTGTTCAGCAGAAAACTTTACTCTTGACCATTGTGACTAATTGTCTCTCAGCAGCAGATGATAGAGTGCCTTTTCTTCCTGATCGTGGCAGTGACACAACTGTGCCATACATTTTATACTGACAAACAATTGTTTGTACAGATGATTTAGGGCCTTTTAGCTGCTTAGAAATGGTTACAAGTGACTTTCCTGATTTGTTTAAGTCAATGATGTGCTTTTTTAGGTATGTGCTGAGCTCCTTGGACTTTCCTATTGTAGAACTCGAGGATGAATCTGATGAGTGTATCAGATGGGAACTATTTAAATAGGCTCCGAGAAGTCAGCAGCTGCATTACAAGTAAAAGTTAAGAGGCCACTGAAAAAATCTGAATAACAAAGCTTTCTACATGATCAAGACGTTTAATCCATATTGCTGTATGTATGTTTTTGACCCTGCAAATGTTGTAGTTTTTCCAGAAGATCTACAAGAAATCTATGAAGGAACCAAACATATGATTGATTTTTGTGACAAAGGTGTATGTGTGTCAGTGATTCCAAGTTGTAGGAGTCATCAGAAACTCAAGACTGCCATGATGCACATGAAGTGTATGGAAACAACTGGATGCATCCGTCCACATTATGATTGTTTGGGCCACATAAAAACAGGTATAGAACGATACAAAGTAGGTGATAATAATACTTTTGGCAGACAGTGATCACTTTTAGGTGTCTACAGTAATGCATTTAGACAAATATCGGATGCATTTTGTTCTGGGATCGGACTTGCCTGCACACTGTTTTTGAAAACATTTATATATACTATACATGTGCAGTGCTCCTGTATGAGGTAGGAATGGACATAGCAGCTCTGTTGCTGATTTATCGGTGCAGAAGAAGATGCCACTCACAGACTGTGAATCCTTGCTGTTGTCTCGAGACCGGTTCTTAGCCAGCCTCTTTTTCTTCTTGTGAAGGGGACGTGACTCCAGGATCATCTCCTCCAGCTCAAAGGTGGGGTCGCAGTGGAGGCGACCTTTCTGTACGGGAGAGATGCGCACGAGATAATTAGAAAAACACACACACGCCCAGCATCACAAATCAGCCACACAAAGGTATTTTGCACACTGAGCAACACACTGTGTATTGCACACACTGATGCACTCGCACAGTAAGTGCATGTGTGCATACACTTCGCTGAGATACCATACAGAAGCTGCATTCAGTTTCCTCTGCATTATTTAGTTGCTACACATGCTAATTATGATCAGCAAACATAAAGGAGTGCCTGTGTGTACTTTAAAATGTTTATTGGATGCGTATATACTGCCTGGGTGTGTGTTTGTGTGTGTGTGTGAGAGATATCTTTATACTAACATTAGGAACAAATCCAGCCTCCATCTTCTTCTCGAACACAGCGTCCCAGTTGACGTCAGCGAGGTAGGGAGATGTCTGCATGTCAGACAGGCTGGAGAAGCGATGCTCTGGGTTCACTGTCAGTAGCTGTGAAGGGAGCAACACACACACACACACACACACACAAATATACACACAAATGTCACCCACATCACCTTCCGAGTAGCAATATCACCTTCACAACTTCTCTCCCCGCTCACAGCCAGGCTCCTTTCACTGGGAGGTGAAATAAACTCGACAAATTGTGGGTGAAAAATAAAACTCAATGTGACCGTCCTTTCCTCATTTACCGTGCAGTTCGAAAGAGTTCACAAAATAAAGATGAGTAACCAACGTGTGTGGCTGACTGGAAGTGAGGAAAAATTCTCTGAAATTTGTAATCCATCCTGGCTTCCTTGAAACCATTTTACCATAAAACTTAATATTTGATTTTTACCATTTACAAGCATATGCTCTGTACAAGTGTATTTCAGGATGGCAGTGCTGCTGTCACTGTCACCTGCCTCCCTTAAAGGACCAGTGTGTATGATTTAAGACTTGCTTCTCCTCTCTGGCGGAAGCACACATGGACAGCTGTGGACAGGTAGCTGTTCTGCTGCACCGCCATGTTTCTACAGACGTCAGAACCTTTTTGTGTTTTTGCTATGAAGTGTTGGTCACTGTAGCTTCTCCTAAACACCTGAGGGGTATTCAGTTGGTTGCAATCTACAACCTCATCGCTAAACGCCACTAAATCCTACACACTGACTTTTAGTAAAGCTCAACAAATGCTGCTAAATTTAGCAAGTTCAGCAAGTTTAGCAAAGTCTGTTACAATCAGCACCAACGATGTCAAAGCAATTCTCACTCCACTGACTTAAAGCTGCTGCTGTAACTAAACACAAAAACCCACAATAACTAACTTTTATGTAGCTTAATAAACCTTACTCTAATTTATTAAGTCTGAACACTTAGTTAGCCTGCTAACCAGCTAGTCTGAGGAGCCATCTTGGACTCTCAGTGTTGCCCAGTTTCAAACTGAACAGCAAATGTTAGCAGTGGTAGCTAGTTTCTAATGGTTCCTACATGGTTCTGTCTGTTTTTCTTTGAGGAACATGTCTAGTTCAGAAGTCTGTCAAAACATCTCTGAATTAACCAACTAATTTTGGCTGTTGCCCAAAAAAACTCAGTTTGATGCAAGACAACATTTCCAGCTAAAACCTCATGTAGCTTGTTTGCTCTTAGGTAGACAGCTAATGAATGGATGGATGGATGGATAACAGGAAAAGCAAAGTTGAAACCAATTTTATCAAATGTCCTCTCTGTCCATTGATTAAACAACTAAAAACTAATTTGTGTGTACTCATGTTACATATTGAATGACATGTCCAACTTATTTATCAAGTTTTTTCTATGCAAATAATCGCTTCCTGCCTAAAAATATCTTAGCTTTAATGCTAGGCTACACTAGACACCAATGAGGACTGTTTGCAGAAGATGAATCTTTAATGGGCGACACCTACAGCATACATACAGTGTAGGGTTGTGACAAAACAAGACATTGAGCCTTTGTTGTGGGATTATTGTGTCTTTGATTCCTGGACACAGCCCAGCACTTTAAAATTTTAGAATTTGTGAAATATCTTTAAGTTGACATTTACAGACAACAGTAGACTTGGTAACCCCTAACCCTAACCCCTAACCCTACACTAAGGAACTGGTAGCCGCTGGCAAATCAGTGCCAATTGGGTGATAAAGACTCAAGAATGAAAGACGTGCATGATACAAACCAGCAATTTCTTCTAATAATCTCTCCACACTGTGCAACTCAAGCACTCCAGCTCACCTACAACTCTGCCCAAACAATGTAAAACTAGTCTATGCTGCACAACAGCAAGCTGCAATATTGGAGTGATTCAGCGCTACATGTTTGATCCAGAAACTAACTCTGCAGAAGAATAACGACATCCTGAAGCTCCACCCTGCAAACTGACAGGATTAGTTCCTCAGAATTGTTACGTATGAAGCCCATGAAGTCTGAATCCATGTTTCTGACGCTGTAATTTCAGCTTCAACGCAGAAATGCTCAACCACAGTTGCATTTTTAACTCACGATGTCATCTGGAATATAATAAGCACAATACGGACATGTCAACAAGGTAAAAATAATTGTGATTTTCACTGAACAAAGACTCAGTTCTATCAAACTGGCTAAATGTGGTAGCAGACGCTGAGCTTACTTGCAAGGTGAGAACACAGTGACAACCCTACGGTCACTAAATAAAAACTGCCATGAAATGAAATGAACTTCAAAAGAACACAATGTTCAGAATTTTACAAAATTGTTCATATTAGTATATATATTCACAAACATCTATTTATTATTTAGAAAGACTGTGGAGCTCAGTGTGAACTTGTGTGGCCACTCAACCTCAACAGGAGAAAGAATTCATTTCAAGCCCTTACGAATATGGTAACCAACAGGGGGCAGTATTAATCAAATGTGCCACTCATGAGGATCAAAATTGTTGCACCCATCAAGACAGATGAACGGCACACACGAGTGGAGTCACTTATTCCGTGGAGAGAAGGAAAAAAAACTGATGCTGATACAGTTGTGTTTTTAATGGAATACCATCTGTTTCATTTTTCACCTCAGGGTAAAGGCTGGAAATGATAAGAGTGGAGTTTCTTGTCATGTTAACTCTCCTCCTGTGCTTTATTTTTCTTTCTTTTGGTCACAGGCTGATTCAGTTTTCTCCTGCAGGGCCGGTTAGGTCTGTCTCGGTGGAGTCCAGACACGGTAATCGATCAGCAGCAGAGCGGAAGAGACCATCGCTCCGTCCAGAACGCTCACTCAGTCAGACACAGAGCACATGCACGCACTCATGCCCGCACTTACACTCTGCAAAATAAAAAAAATAAAAAAATAAATCCTCCCGAAACAAGCCGCAGTTTTTCATACTCACTCAAAAAAAAAATCTTGTCTTAAAGCGAGTAAAGAAAAACTGCCAGAGGGGGCGAGATAATTTGTTTCCAGCACAGTTTCCTCTTGTTCAGATGACAACATGTTGACACAGAGCAGGATAAGGTAGGTTATTACTGCAGAGAAAATGAGCCTGATTCAAGAAAAGTGTTGAGAGGATTTATTTCCATTTTATGCAAAGGGAATTATTTCATCCAGCTGGCACATTTTCACATGTAAGAAAACACATTTTGAGCTTCAATATTGGGTTAAACGACTTGTTATCCTGAATGATGGCGCGCACTGTCTCTTCGCTCAGCCACTTGCTCTGTTTCTGTGCTTCCATCCTTTAGATTCCCATCTGTCGCCTCCCCCCCCCCAGTCCTCCTTTGCCCTGAGGGTCTCGGCTCATCCTCCCTCCCTCCAGCTCAAGCCCCCTATGGTACATGTATCCTCTGTTCCTGTGGCTTCGGTGACTTATTTTTTTTTTACCTCAATAAGTACCTCAGCATCACCTCTACATCCTTGCCCTCCTTTCATCCTGCTCCTCTTTCTAAGGAACACCATCTGCATCCAGGCAGCAGGGTCACCATCAAATTACTTTGATTTCACTTAATCCGGAATGTAACCTTAAACTCACTTCAGTTCGGATATCCTGCAATATGCTCCGTACGGAAACACTCAGTTGTTTGACGGAGTCGAGTGTCAACAATCCAGTAAACTCAACAACAGCCGAGTCAGAAAATGAGCGTGAATTAGTGACAGACGATACGCCTTGCTGACAGCAGTGTCTGTCATTTTTACAGGTGAAAGCAAAGCTCTGCCTTTGGCTAAGAAGGAGAGATAATGCTTTTTTTTTTTTACTGGCAAAGTTGAGTGAATCTGTGTGTTTTGTCAACCTGAGTGTCAGGGAGGAGTTAATCACCAGTGGGACTAAACAATTTTACACTCCCACGCTTCAATTTTCACCCTCATATGGTGCAAACACATCCATGACTTCCCCCCAAAATATTCAGGTTTTTACCAAACTGCATTTAAAAAAATCCCAAAAAAAAGATTAGAGCTGCAAAATACGACTATTTTCATTACTGATTAATCTGCAGATTATTTTTTATCATCAAGAAGGTGTAAGGTGGAAATTTCCAAAAATAATTAAGGGCTTAGAGGTAAGTGTTCAGGGATATCGCCAATTATGTTCAATAAATCTCAGCAGTTCTCATTCGTATTGGCAGGTAATACAAATGTGTGTTACGTAAAATGTAAAAACCACATCAAAGTGACTAATGATAGCTTTATCTCTCAGAGGGAAATGATTTCCAGGCTGTAAATTCTGGGGTGAATTCAAATATTTAAATGAAAGAGTTGAAAGTGAATAATGTTCCATTAAGTCGATCTCACCTTCCTCAGAAGAGAAACCAGATCCTTGGGCCAGGCTGGGCTGTATTGGACGCTGACTGTGCTGAAGAGCTGAATCAAGGACTCCACTGAGTTACTGGCATGAATATCATAGGGCCTCTGGAGACAGGGTGACAAAAGGAGGAAACACAGCAAGTTGAGGAAGAGAAAGAGGTGTGAACAAATGGAAGCAACTCCATCTTTGCAGCCTCATAATACAAAAAAATGAAAATCACGCTTTACCCATCCGCGCAGCACTTCGAAGGCTGTCACCCCTAGTGACCACCAGTCTACTTCAAAGGCGTAGCCCGTCCCTCCACTCACAAAAGACTGGAAGATCTCTGGGGCTGAAAGCACAGCAGGAAGACAATCATGTCTGTAGCAGAAAAAAAAGCTTTTCTAGCCACTGTATGTGCATTTGGGAAAAAGGCAAGAGTTCTGTCACAAAATGTCAGAAAAAAACTGCTCATTTTTCATCACATGAAGGGAGACATTTGACTCAGATATTCACAAATTACCAGAAGATCTGTAATTTTTTATCGCTGAATTCACACAAGTGTATGATTCATAACAATGAGAGTGTAAAACGTATTCACAAATTTGCAGAAATCTGAGTCTGGCACCTTCTACGCATCAGTATCTAATTTGGACACAGTTGATATACTATAGGCTTGTCACATGCTTAAAATGAATTCTGTGTGCCTTGTCACATTTTATTAAGGTGGTTATCAACCTAACAGTGCCAGAAACTGTTTGTTTAAATGAAATAAACTGTCACTTCTCAATGTGCATTTGAGCATTTACAAACCAAACACATTTTGATTCCTACAAGTTGCGTTAATGTAACTCAAATCAGATTCTCCCATACGTCCAGAACACAACAGCCCTTTTCCCTGCAGCACTGCTGTCATTCTCAGCAGACACAACTGCAAAGCAAAGTTACCCATGTAGGGCTTGGTTCCAGCTAAGGCTGTCGCTCTCTCTCCATCTTTTATTATTGTTGCTATGTTGAAGTCCGTCAGGTGAGCGTGACCTGAGAAAAACACAAAATACATTTTAAAAAATCCATCCAAAAAAATTTGAATACGTGTCCATGGTCACATAAAAACATTTCAACATGTAAAAAGCAAAAGAAAGACAACAAAATCTCACATTTCAGTACACTGGATCAGTGTGCACTCATTATTTTGTGTGTCAGTCAAGCGTCCATGAATCGTCTGACCTTGTTACTGTTGCGACTCATTAGCAGCCTGAAGGGTCATTTTTGTGTGACACACTTGTCATGATGGACTCACTGCTGACTGTACACTGGGTTTCTAAAAAATTCTGGCATATTACGTAATTCTTACCTTCCCCCGTTATATGCAAAAGGTAGATATTAGATATAAAAGTAAAATAATCACTTTGAAAAACACAACTGCGTTATAGACATATTTACATACAGCAGAAGATACAAGGACAGTAATAAAAACATAAACAATAACCAGCTACATACGAGCACATACTGACCGCTTCAGACAAAAAGAAAGTATACAATTGAGTTTAAAATCATTCAATGTGAGACAATCAAGTGTAGTTTGTTCAGTTTATTTGGTGCAGTGCAGTAGAAAGGAGCCTTTTAATGCACTAGTAGTTTTAAATTTAGGAAGACAGAAGATTTATGATTCTTCAGAAGAAATACATTCTGTCCAATGAGCTGTCAGTAAAAGACTGAGGTGCAGGAATAAAAAAAGTAGACTGTAATCTAACGTGGCTTCAGCTGGATAAGATGCAGTTGACAAAATATAACAAGTCTATTTTGGAGTACTAATAGTTCACGATAATTATAAAAAACGCAGCACCTTTGCCTCTTAAAAGATTGCGGAGACCATCGGAGGCTGGTTTTATGAAGACATTCTTAATTGGTCTACTGTTTAAAAATGTCTCTGATTAGTCTACTGCAAGTTCACAAAAACAAAGTTACATTTTTTGCTTAAAAGTTAGCCACCTCACCCTCAGGCTGACATGGAGCTATGTCCTATGTTTCCAAGGTAACAACATGGAAAAAGAGAAGCAAACATGGAGCTGACTTGCATCTACATTTTCCATTAACCAGCAGGGGGCGACTGGTCTGGTTGCAAAAAGAAGCCAGATTGCAGTTTTATAGAAACAGACTTCAAACTTTGTTAGCTCAGTTAACTTTTTCCTTGTAAGTTTAAGGTCCCATTTGCTAGTTTTGGGTATTTTTGACCACATCATGATATTAATTTAGTAAATTATGGCACAATGTAAAATAAAATGGACAATACATGCTGCAAGACATGCTTTAAAGTGGAGCCACCGTGTGACTGACAGGATACTACCACATCACCTTTGGAAACTGACTGTGGTCAACATTTTTCCTCTAAATTTCATTCATTGCAGATTTTTTTCTGTGAAGCAGCCTTGGAACACCTACATTTTTAAGGAGGCAGGAGGAAGTTTTACGTTACAGTGAGGGGACCTGAGGGGAAAGATGCAGTTATCTGGTCGGCCATGTTTGGAAAAAGTCTGAACTTACACAGAAATAGAGGTTTTTATTTAACATAGTCAAGAACGAAACAACTTTGTGTAACAGATACAGAAGCATCAAAATTCAGTCTATTAGTTAAATCTACGCCACAGTGGAAGTTTTTTTTATTTTAGCCCCAGCACTGTGCAGACTGCTTGTGTTGTATCACACAATTATGCATGAAACCAGTTCTACACTTATTTTTCCTCCATATACAAGCAGGCAAAAAAAAGAGTATTATTTGCACATCTTATTAAACCCAAGTCCTGCTGCACACCCATACACAAAGCAAATGGATGACATCCTTACCTTGTTCATCTAATAGGATATTGTCTGGCTTTACATCTCTACAGGAGACAAAGAAAGAACAAAACAACACAGAAGATTTGTCATGATATCATTAGATAACCTGAACAAATACAGACAAACTCATTTCATGCATTTGCACGGACGTAAACAATGCAAACAGTCGTCAAATGCAGCACAACAAAACTCCCGGAAAATCTGCAAATGTGCCGCTAAACTACTACAGAAGAAGACGTTAAATAATGGAAATTAATGTGGAATCAATATGACATTCCTGTTTGGCTTGTGTGTTAATCTGAGGAAAGGTGCAGCCTCCTGATCACTTCACACAGATCGGATGTTTTTGTTTGTTGGTATCTTTTATGTCTGTGTTTCACCGGACAATCAAATCACATGGTTTATGTGCGTCATGGTTTCATAGCTAAGTGTGTTTCCATCACAGGTAATGTTTTTATTGATACAGCATCAACATATTTACAATTCTGCCTGAGCCAAGTATGAAATCCTTATTGGGGGAATGTTTTTAAATGTCAGTATTGACGTCAGAGTTGTTTCATTTTTTTAATATAAATGTGCAAAAACAAGTAAATGAAAACCCACTTTAAGAACTGCTGCTATTAGTGTCAGTTAAAGGGTTTCAGACTCAAAACATTTCATAATTTGCATAATTTCCTCCTATAGTTCTCAGCTAACATGTGCTCAAGTTGTCATAGTTTGTGGTCCAGTGGGAAAGACTTGGATGAGATGTGTGCAGTATGTGTAGATGTGAAAGTCTGTAGGAGGTGTTTAGAGGCTGATGTATGTGTGAATTACATGTTGCTGCAACATGTGTGTGTGTGTGTGTGTGTCAGTGAGAGAACTTGAGGGAGAAAATTCTTTCATTGTTTGCATTTCAAACGTTGCCAGAGCCCATGAGAACACAACCATCACCGATCCCCAGGAGGCTGTCGCAGGTTTGTCCCGAAGGCTCCTGCAGGTTTCGTCTGCACATGCTTATTACACTGGGCACCGATGCAATGGACACATTCAAACACACACACACACACACACACTCACACACGTGCACACACACATCTCGACATTTCCCAGCCCTTCAAGCACTCCACAGGCAATTAACAGAGCGCACACAGCTTATTTAATTATGCCGCACATCACGCTGGTGTGGAGAATACGCTCGGTCTGCAGAGAGCGTCGACGTGTCCCGTAGGACGCATGTGTTCGCTGTGGCTATGCAACGCTAAGCTGATGCTAATATCATCTGCCAAAACTCTTGGAGGGGAGTGGAGGTGGCGGTGGGGCGGACGGATCCAGCAGTAGAAGGCTGCAGGGAAACACATACATGTTCACGGCGGGGGGATCCTGGCAGGAGCACCCTGTCATTTTACTTGAAGAACAGAATTCACTTAATTTATTTTGCAGCAAGCACAGAAACACAAGAAACTGCATGTAAAGTGGATCCGTGTTTTGTACAGGAACAAACCTCCAGAGTGAGTGTGATCTGACAAGCAGAGATTTTAACATGCAGAGCGCATGAGGACAAATGAAGCCGCTTGGTGAGAAAAGAAAAGAAGAGAAGAGAAAAGGGATTCTCCAATTCTACGTCCCCTCTTCTCATAGGACTAATTTTACCTCCTTGGGCATGGTGGCAGCTAACTGTTGCTAGGAGACCAGAGACCCTTCTTCCTTCAGTTGGTGCAACAAAATAATTGTATAGTATTCTCCTGTCAAAAACTTACAGGGTGGAACAAAATTGTAGAGCTGGGGGAGGCCATGGATACCAAGGGATTGGATTATGGCTCTGAGAGCAGACACAGTTGTGTCAAAGGCAGAACACATGATGAAAAGGGGAGGGTGAGGAAACATGGAAGCAGCTGTCACCTAGTTCTAAAGACAATCTGAGATGTGCATTATGAACATATTTGCCAACTAGGAAAAAAAAAAAAGGACTGGATATCTGTCGTGTAATGCAACGACTTACTGATATGACACATCACATGCAACTGTTTACATGCAAATGTCTACAATTTGTGTAATAACACTTGAATACTGGTTTTAGCAGAAAAGAAAAAAGTTCACACCACAAACAATCAGCATGTCTTGATGGAGCCTTCTTGTCGGTGTGAGTTTGCTAACAGAGGTGTCGTGGTGCGTATATGCAGGTATACAGCACCTACCCATGTGCGAGCACCTAAAAATAGCCACAGATACATATCAGTGAGGCTGCAGTCAATCACGTTACAGTCTCTCTTGTAATCTGGGGTGTTTGCTGCCAGGCAACCAGCGCAAACTTGTTGTTTTTACACTGTTTTGTTCAATGTTTTTGTGCAGATTTTAATGTATTAATAATGAACTTTGGGAGGTGCTCGTAGGTGGATTTTTAGACTTTGGAGAAAAAAAACCTCATCGTAACTGTTTTGCCCTGCTCAGCTACATTAACCACGTCTGGCTCCAGCTGTAGATGTAAAGCGTGAACATGAGATTGATAACAATCTTTTAACTTCTGGCAAAGAAGCAACAAAATGCCAAACTGATCCTTGAACACTTCTTTCTTTCAGATGTCTTCAGGCATTGCTCATTTTTTATTCCACTGTTTATGTTTTCTCTGTAAAGAAGCTTGATAAGTGTTTTTTTTTAGCATTATGCTGAACATGTAGCTAAACGTGAAACCACTGCTGTATGCTTCAGTGTCTAGTAGCGGTGACACTAATGATTATTTCCATTGTTAATTAACCACATGTTCTATCTTTGTGCCTACTTCAGACACTACTTTAACCCATTACGCCAACTGTAACTACTATTTGCCAAATCTTAAACCAAGCCACTGCACTAAAATGCATTGATTTACATCATGAGGATTTGCTTTTTGTCCCTTTAAAGCAGGCAGGTCCCCACAATGTGATTGTGTTAGATTAATGTCCTCACAACATGAGTAACACAAGTACACATACACACACATACACTGTTGTTTGAAAGAAGAAATGTAGCCCAAATAAGGTTTTGAACAAGGTTCAAACAGTTTTTCAGCCATCTGTGGCACTAAATCTGCAGTCTGCAGGGATCCAGCTCTTTCACTTACTGGACTGCACACACACTTACTGCTGCACTCAGCATATCTGGACAAAAAGCTGCGGACAGCGAGTCCACCCTAGTTGAGGATGATGGATGGTAACAATTATGGAAAAACTCATGTGTGCTATCTTTAGATATGTAAAGCAACTTCAATGAAAACAGGGATGCCCAAATGTTGACAGAAGGTAAATACTCGGAGCCCACACACAGACTCGAGGAGAAATTACGTTCTATTACATCTTAATTGCTCTTACAAGAGATTTTCTACAGTTAGGTGGACTTTTAAATAGAGCATAATACACATTTATCACCATACTGTGGTAGGGAGTCTATGAATACTGATGCAAAATACGGGCAATTTAAAGCGCATACTCTACAGTCATAACAGAATATGACTAACCCTTTTTACAATCCCTTCCAGGGAGCTGCAGGGCACCGTGCACTCCCCTAGAAGAATAATGTAGCGTCAGCTGACAGGACATGATCCTAAACAGGAAGGTCAAAGTGGAACCAGGTGGGATTAATCTATAGGGCATGACGAAGGTGGATGTAAAAAATATCTCCACAGAAGCACTTGAGTCATGTTTATAGCCTAAAGAACTGCATATAACGCTAGTTAGAAAGGCACGGTGACTTTGTGGTTCTGTCAAACTAAGAGTGCTTACACAAAGAAAAAAAAAGATTATTGCTGTATTCCCTCTGGAGCAGAGAGGAGATAACACACTTGCTTAAGTTATGACGTAAAGAAAAGCCTTTAACTTAAATTCATCCTGGTGTTTCGGTTTAAGCCTGAAGACTAAACCACAACACTTATAAATCAGCAATAATACTGTTGCAACCGAGAGGAGCAGAACACAATGAAAGGAAACCTTTCGAATACTAAAAGTGACAGATGCAACCTTGAGCTGATCTTCAGTGTTTTTCTCTGTGCAGGCTCTGAACTGAGGCTCAGTATATCTGATTAAAGACAGTGATGCAACGGAATGACACTGGTGCATTTGGTGTATCTGGACGCTATTGTAAGTGGGAACTGTGGATGTAAATACTTTGATGGTTGTATTTGAAAGTTAATTGTGTCTTTTGCTCTCCTATAAACACAAATCAAAGCCCAGAGCAAAAGGACATTTGATCTTCGACTGATTGTGTTGCACTGTTAGATGTAGAAGTTGCTTTGTCCAGTGGAGAACTTAAACACCAAAGGGACTGCTGCTTTGTCTAAAAATCCGATCAGTTCAAGGCCACTATTGAAGCAAAAACAAAACCATTTTCGCATTCACATTTAGATACAATTTAAAGCTGCATTAATTCATATTTCTATAATCACAATGGATAAATTTATGGAATGGGATGTGAAAGAGGTTGCTCATGGACACAAGACACCACACTGTTCCTCAAAACAATTTCCTTTAGCTCATTGCTTTGATTCTACGGCTGCAGCTTTAATATTTTGGTTCAATCTCTCAGCAAAACTTTGATAAATCCACTGTACACAATCTGAAGTGCAGATAGACAATGTTAGTGATCTGCTGGCATGGAGGGATGTGGTGAAAATGAAAGTCACCGTTAGTTTGGTGCACAGAAACTAAAGCTGTAATGATCAGTCGATTAATCGTCAAGTATTAAATGAACCACCAACTATTTTGATAATAAATTAATTGGTTTGAGTATTTTTTTAAAAGAAAAACGTGGGTAAATTCTTTGATTCCAGCTTCTTTAATCTGAATACTTTCTGGTTTCTTTTGTCTTCTACAACAGTAAACTGAATATCTTTGGGTTGCTGAGGATTCAAGACATTTAAGAACAGTCATCTTAAGTTTTGGGAAACACTGATGGACATTTTTCACCATTTTATTGACCAAACAACTTATCAAACTAACTGAGTAAACAATTAACAAATTATTAGTTGCAGCCTGAACAGAAATGTCTCTAAATGAATGTGAATGTTGCTGAATGTTTTCTCTGCATTCACAATATTAGTTTTTTAAACTGATATGTTTTTATTGAATTCACAGAAAAGCAATCTGTGCTGCTTTAACCTTTCTTCTGTTTATAATATGGTAAAGGGTCTGCACTTATATAGCGCTTTTTTTCTACCTTAGTCGTACTCAAAGCGCTTTACAATGTGTTTCTCATTCACCCACTCACACACACATTCATACACCAATGGGGACAGAGCTGCCATTGCGAGCAACATTGGGTTCAATGTCTCGCCCAAGGACACTTGGACTGTGGGATCGAACCGCCAACCTTGCGTTTAGAGGACAACCGCTCTACCACCTGAGCCACAGCCGCCCAGCATGTCTTTCACTAAAGACGAGCTTTTTTGTGTTTAGAGAATAATGGTCTTCAGGAAAGCTAATTTATAACACTTTTTAAAATTAAAAGTGGAGTCTGGGATTCTGGAGAAGGACTGTTGATTTTTAGCAAGGTAGCATATTTAAATAGCATGTGCCAGATTTACCTCTCTCTCTCTCTCCCACTGACTCTTTCCATTAAACATGTCCTGTGCATGAGCTTGAACATGAAAAGGACACACTTGATTAGTGTGGATTGGTCTGAGCCACTTAATTTGTCATACGTTTACAAAGCCTGAAGACGTGTGGTGTATGAACACCAGATTTTTTTTTCCAGCACACGCAGAGAACAGAAATCTAGCAGACTGTGATGAGATGTTCACTGAATTTGATAAAAAGCATATTGGCTGAGAATAATTCACCTTCACTATCCACATGTCCATACTCCAAGTAATAGGAGCTTTTGAATTTATTTTTTCTTACTTCATCTTTTATGCAGTTAACAGGAACTGCTTGGAAGCTGATGACCTTGCACTGAAATGAAATGAGAAAGAAGAAAATGTGAATTTGTACCTATGGATGATGTGCTGGCTCTGCAGGTAGTCCAGTGCCAGCGTCATCTCACAGAGGTAGAGTTTCACCGCGTCCTCACTGAACTGGACGTTCTGCTGCAGGTGGTAGCGCAGGTCTCCTCCCAGCAGGAGGTCCACCACCATGAACATGTCCTCCTCATCCTGGAACGAGTACCTGGGGCCAGGCGGGATGACACGGCGCTCAGTCACTGTCCAGTGTGGACAGAAAACACATGCGGCACAAGCAGAAGCAAAGACTGAGCACGCACACAGCAAACACGTACGCTACGAGGGCCTGTATGCTCACACATGCAGCACAAAACACAGCTTCAGACACACATGCATGCTCATGGAAATCCACACAGGGACAAACAGAAGGTCATGTCTGTGTAGAACCACAGGAACACATGCCCTTTACATGCAACTTCCTCTGCGTTTTACTAAAACAAATAATGCATCTTTGTGCATGTCACTGTGTGCTTGAGTTGGTTTGAGTAAGAGCATGCACGATTCACCATGACAGAGTAGCATCCACCATTATCCTAATAACATGCCAGCTATTTGAAGGAATGCAAAAAGAGAGGAGGTGATTGTCAAATTAAAGCTTGACAACAGCTCGTCTTTGCTTGATGTGACTTAATTGAAGGCTGCTCATGGTCCGCTAAACATTTTTGTCAATCAGGCTTACTAATCATGCACATCAAATTAAAACACAGCCTCTCAGGGATCTGGGAGGGGATTTGTAACACTCCACTCCACAATTTTACTGAACAAAACATTAAGCCACATGGGTGAACAGACCGTTTTTGTAAAACAGAATCTAATTTCTCACATAAGAAAAATAAAGGCAGAATAATATCTTAATAGGCCCCCCATGTCACTTTGCAGCAGAGGAGGGAAAACAAATGGAGCCTTGGTGATTGCTTCTATCAAACTTGGTTTAATGTGGCTGCTACTGAGCCAGTTCTTTATTTTCCCATTAAAGCTCTGATACTGTAGTGTATTACTCTTTTTATAGCTGCAGGTTCCTACTGTATCTTCAAGCTTGGCTCTGAACACTCAGGGGGATGTTCTGATTGGTCCTACTCAGGTGCAATTTCCTGCTTCTCTATAAGTGAGAAAGGGGGACCCGTGTTTGGTGCGGAGTGAAAATCATTCCATCTCATCCACAGACTGGAGAAAGAAGAAAAAAACCCATTTGCAGTACTGCTGGCTCTTTCTCGTCTCCTGAAACACACCGTAGATTAATTGATGAAGCGGCCTTGACTTTGATGTGATAGGACAGATAATGGGCTGAAAAGCACACCATGATTCAGTGAACACAGAAACAACACATAAAGCATCTTTCCCAGATGCATTAGATTTTAATTGGATGGGAAAAAAAAAACCCCTTAAATGCTATAATGTTAAATACTGATGAGCTCACGCTTGTCAAAAAAGTTTCTCACACGAGACTCTCACGTTTCGTCTTCGCTGCCACTGCTGTTGTTGCAAGAGCTAAATAGGAAACGACAGTGGAACCACCAACCTGGCCTGACCCTTTACAGATCAGCCTCACTATTAAAACACAGAGCGGCCTCAGCAGATGGCCAGCCCCAGGATGTTGTTTGCCTTTGGCAGGGATTCCTCACTGTCACCTTTTTATCACCTCATTGTCACAGTCTGATTCCTGGTATCCAGTTGACAGATGAGCTTCCTCTGAGGCGGCCCTCGCTATCTCAGTGTTGCACAAAACGGTCTTCCCGGTCCATCGCTGAAATATCTGCGCTCCTGAGAGAGCGACTGCAGAGGCCCGGTCTTGTTGTCACTTCCTTCGCAGCGTTCACTGAGGTGACAAGGAAATGTCAGATACGGGCCGACAACTGGAGCATATGAAAGCTCCGGTGCTGACAAGCCCTGTCACCTTTAAGACTCTCACCAAGGATGGGACAGAGAGGAAATACAAGCAATTTCATTCCCCATTTTTTTGGGAACACTTTGCTTAAAATAAACACAAATCCATAAATCTGACAGTTTCAAAAATCCAATAAGAAAAAAAAAAATCCTCTTCTGTCTGGGAGTGAAAGGGAATACAGGCGGAGGAACAGTGGAAAGGAAAGCATTAGTTGGAGGGTACTTGTTTGGAGAGATGAGATAAAAAAAAGATTCATCCCTCCGTTGACTTTCTGGCACTGACTCCAGTGGTCGCAGTGGCAGCACGTTAAGGGGTCAGTCTGCTTGGGCCAAAGCACTTGTCAGATCATCGTCCGACAATGCTGGTGACTTTCCAAAAGCAAAAGTCCGACAAGCACACACGTTTCATATAGTAACTGCCCTGGAGTGTAGCAGTTAGAAAATATGCGGCTCAATTCAATTTTACTTCTTCAGGCAACTACCTCAATCACTTTTTATGAGTGCAAAACTAAGAAGGTGTTGGACGGCAGAGAGTGCATGTCCTTATCTGACATTCTCCCTATTAGTGGCAGTCACTGCACCACAACGCTCTCTTGACGGCAAGCATTTCGTCTGTATGTTCAGTGTGGCAAAGATGTCCAAACTAGCTCCTAGCTCACTCTGGCCTTAAGCAAAGTAGTCCAATCATTCCTCCTCTCCCTTGCCAATTCTTCCAGTGTTTTCCTGGGAGATCCCAAGGTGTTCCTATGCTAGGACATAAGATGTGCAATCAATCTGGACCTTCCCCGGAGTCTTATCCCAAGTGGACGTGCCCGCAATACCTTTGCAAGCAGGTGTCCTGGAAGAACCATGAATCGGATGCCAGCAACTGGCAGCTTTTAAAACAGTTCTACTTCAAGCCCTTTCTGGATGTTGGAGCCTCGCACTTTGTTGTTTCGCATAAGTGGAAAACCATTACAGATGATGATATCCAAGGACATCAGTAGTGTGAGAGGACGGTATACACTTGGGATAGATGCAGAGGAAGACAGACGAAATGTGCCGGGTTGTGATCTATGTTCAGGCTGATATTTTCTGTCAGCATTTGGCACACGCAATAACAAATGTATAGAACAGACAGCAGCAATTTGCACTTAAATATAAAATCAACTGGCATGAGACAGTGTAGCTATGACACTGACTGATGTCCTTTTACATTAAACCAGCATTAATTGATATTTTGGCGACTCTGTGAGAACACATCAAGCTGCAAGTTCAGAATTTTAATATTGTAATATGAATAAGCAGTGACGTGTGAGCAGATAGTTGCACACATCCAGAAAACATGTAACATTAGCATCATTTTGAGTTCCAATTTCTGGCCATCTGGCATAAATGAAGCCCTTTTCAGACAAGCACTCCTTTCCAATAATCTGATGACAACTGAACTTCATGTCTAAATGAGAACCCTGCTCACTATTCCATAAAAGCAACAACAGCAATCTTCTTAGGTCAGACCAAATAACATTTACGTATCATTTTTAACACGGCACAAGGCTAAACTGCATGCTGTTCCATTAACGTATTGGCATGTACAGGCCATGTACCGAGTTGTGCAAAGTAGTTTAGGGAAAACATTTTCCAAATTTCGCCACCAATATTGGTCCAAGATCATCACAGAGAGTTCTGCTTGTGTGCCAAAATCACAAAAC